CAGGCAGGATGTAGTCCCATTGTGCACTCTGAGCGTGTGAGATGAGGTCTGGGTTAACAGGGATATACTGTAGGGCTTCTAGATGTTGGATGGATGACACCGAACTGAGGGATCCTATTTATTTGTTATTTTCACCAAGGGTTTGACAGAGTCCTCACAGGAGAGCCAATGCACCCCTGAAGAAAAAGCCCACACTTTGGCAGGTAAGCAACATTTTACAACTAAATCATCATTACCAGTATGAGAAACTGATATACTGGTTTATGGCTTCTGGTACAATATACTATTAACTGCAGGGTAGAATGTTAAAGGTTTTGAATGACAAGATTTTTATTCGCCGTCCTCCTCTGAATCTGAAACCTTTGCATTTTGACCCACTAAATGTAAGATGAAAAGCTTGCTGGTGGTGGTACAAGGCTCCAGAAATAAAAGAAAAATACAAGGGGGTTTATATAGCCCAGCCACTGTGGAATGAACATCTCTGCAAGTCAAATGAATGTAAATTTCACTAATGTGGTTTTGTACACATTCATTCATGTGCATTTGGTTGACGGCAGAGACCAAAAAAGATCAATCAGAGAACTCCCCCAGTTTTCTTTAAATCAGGAACATGTAGAACAAGGTCTGTAAAAGAGCTGTGTAACATGTCTTTGCGCATAAAGATAGCTGTGACAGACCCCAGACTCAAGCAGGGAGGTTTCAAAGGGTCTGCACACACAATAACTCACCATGATCCTGAGATGTTTGCCTTTTAAGGTCAAACAAAAACACGGCACATGAAACACCCCCAAAAAAAAAAAAAAGCTCCCAGGCACAGATGCTACTGCTGTGCACACCCTTTAAATACCAACAAAAACCTAATTACACTAATGTGTAAATGTGTGTTCTAAATTCCTTACCAATCAACTAATAACCACACCAGTTCCAACGCATAACTTCAGCACACTAAAAGACCAGCTCCTCTACCGCGGCGGAGTGTTGCACCACTCAGTTCCACAGGAGCATGACGTCACCTCTGTGACCCGCTCAGCATGTGGATGTCCACAGGTGATTTACAGGCTGTGTCACGGCTTCAAGTGTCAGGTTTTCTGTAACTCTGCAATCCCCTTTTAACGATACCTGTCACACGTGTGGTGTGAGAACCTGTTGGTAGCAGGTAATGCATGTCCCCTTTAAGAGCGTTGCTTGTTTGATTTTTAGGGTGTTGCTCATGTGATTTGCAGAGGTCAAGGCACAGAACCACCAGTACAAAGCGGAAATATTACAATCATTACAGGAATATGAACATCAAGATCTGACCTCTCTTAGCAGTGACACTAATTGATACAGTATGTAGTAGCATTTAGTAACACCTTCTCCTGATTGGAGTTTTCATTCGAAGCTCTTCAGAACCCTGGAATGAGAAAATACATTTGTATATAATGCGTTTAAAATGAAGAAAATTGAGCACTTGGAGAGTGTTGATTTAGGTATCTTGTTTATGGCACCTACAAAGAAATAAATTTTACTTCAGAAGTTCAAAACTACACTTAAATCAACACCAGTCTACTAATTATGAGTACTAAATGCCATGCATCTTAATTCATTGTAAGATATGTATCCCGTGTTGTCGTGAGCTCAATAACTGAATCACAAAAGTCGGCTAATTGGTACAGTGTAGAATGGTGAACAAGGATCCTTGTTTATGCAGTGTTGGAATTTAACATGCGAGATTTATACCAAATACAGCTGCACAGTTACATTCTTAATGGTGCTGTTGGGTTCTTGGGGACTGCTAAAACAAGGAGACCACACACGCATTGGTCAATTTAGCGTTTTGTCTGGACTAAGTTTCCTGTTTAAGTTGATTTTTTTAGGCTAATTATCTTTTTCTGCTTCTCCTGGTCAAAGAACCTCCCCCGAAAGAATGATTCTTTTCTATTAGTGTTTTCCAAGTAAGGTCAGTTTCTGCTGTAATGTGATTTCCGATGGTGTCTGCAAACTTTATGTAACAGAACTTACAAAAAAAAACCCAGAAAATAAATCCATGAAAAGCTGCAGAGTATGAATTATAAAGCCACCCATATCTTAAATTACCTGTTGGCACAATTTGTGAGAGAAGAAACGATGGTAAAATTGAACGCCAGGGCCTTCAAGATGCACAAAAACCGGAGCTTGCAAACTATTCACCTCTTTTCAGTGACGTCTCATTTTGTTGAAGTACGACTGTGTTACTTGTATTGAAATGACTCCTTTTAATGAAACACTCAAATCGAAAAGAAAAATCAAAAATGAAAATGTTTTTGCATAGGCACTGTATATAAACGAATGAGTCGAATTGCTTTCTAACATAAAAGACTGGGCTCTGTCACACTGGTGTATTGTTGAAGTAGAAGGAGGAGAGTATCTGGGCGAACAGGTAGAAGAAAAGGTCTCTGGCTCTAACTCTTGTTCATGTGAAACTGAAACAATGGAAGAACATGTGAAAAATGTCAGAGTAACAGCTTCTGTTACCTATCACCCTGCCTGACGCCCTGTGCCCTGACTAGTGTAACCTTTCTTGCTGCTTAGAAATTTAACAGATGGCTAAGGAGTTGAGGCTCTAACATCAACAAGTGCAGATAAAGCCAACCACACACACACACACATCCAAAGCCACGAGTATCATCAAAAGAAAGTAGCACAGCTGGGCTTCGACAGTCAGTTGTCTGTGTGGCAGATTCTTCCTAGTCCTTCTTCACACAAAAACCTCTTTCTAGGGGTTCTTGAGGGAGAGCTGAAACAGATTAGCAGCTTAGAAAATCTGTTTTTAGGTACATATTTTCTCAGCTTCAACAGTGCCGTGAATGTCTAGTCTAAGGAGTAGAACAATATGTGCACAGTATGTGATAAAAAATACACATGACATGGTGTCGAGTGACATCTACAGCACTCTAGGGACTACCGAGTGTTTTTTTTTACACGAGGGAATGCATTGGTATCGAGCAATAAGCTTATATTATAGAACGTTATATTATAGAAAGTTGCAGGAAATTATTATTTTAGAACCTCTTCTTTTCACTGTTAATGAAGCGCCAACGTTATGGAGCACGCACAGTTCTTTTTTCATGACTTGAGCTCTGCAAAGGTTGGTCCTGTTGAGCATCCGTTCAACGTGACGCAGGCTGCTTCCAGTGGGAATATCCGGTCAAACTCCTTTTTGAGTCTCTGCAAATTATGCTGTCTCTTGAGGGAAACACTGACAGCACAGGACACTCGTTTCCGATGCTTGTGAGCAAAACATTCTCTCACTCCTGATGGAAAAACTTATTTTGCTTTTGCTTTGATTGATCGGCGTCTGCGTTCATGATGATCCAAATGGGTAAAAATAAGCTTTGGAATTTTGCCTAGCCCTGGCAAACAGCATTTAGCTTTTTTTGAAATTCCTACAATACAGCCGAGCTTTGACCTTGTTTAACATTTGTTAGCAGATATTTAGCTTTGTTATTTGTCATTCAATAAGGGATGAAAATGGGTGGGAAAATGATAAATCGGGGAGCAAAAGCGTAATTGGACAGGGCTCAGGAGCTCACAGTGCTACATTTTAATGGGAGTGAGATCGGTTTGCAACAGCTTGCAATGTAAATATTTCCACAACTTGGGTAACATATTAACAGGGTTTTCATAATCGTTTTGTGAGCTACTCTTTGACAGGCTGGGAGCAAAGCGTTCACTTTAGACATACGACCACCGCATCACTCTTAACACAAACAACACTCTTAACACAAATCCTGCTAGAATGCTTTGCATGGGGTTGACAGCCATTTTGTATTTACCCACTGTGATGCAGGCGTATTTAAATAGACAGAGGTCGGTAAAACGGAGGCACAGTCACTAGGTAAAAAAAACAATGCATGAAAACTCAACCCCTCCCACCAAAATAGCGTTAAGCTCCTCTTTGCGCTCTCTGAGCACTTGTTGTGTTTCTTGGGGAGCTAATCTGCTTACCAGCTCCAACAAGTCTGAAGTCTCATGTTAACCTGACCCCTGAGGTCATCAAGGGTCATCAGCTGGATGAGCACCTCTTTCCCTCCCTCTATGCACTGCAAAACAGAGGCTCTGCAGGCTTTCCAAACATCAGGTACAGCCCGACCCTGGAATTCTCCACTTCCTGGTTTTTAAAATGTCACCCAGTCAATTTCAACTTCTTCCAATTGGTCAGATGACTGAGGACGGCAGGTCATTCCCCAAAGCTTTCTGGGAATGAAGATCGTATAAGGGGTGCCATTTCGTCTCAACCTGACTTCTTGTTGCACTACAAATATGCAACAAGACTTAACAGCGAAATGAGCAAAAAGCTTTTAATTATATCGGAATTTTAATCCTTATAATATAATCATTGAAAATAGATGACAGCAAGTGCTTAGTGGTTGGATACAGTAGCAGATACAGCATGCATCACTGAAATGGAGCCTCACTGATTTTGATAAAAACTAATCTTCTGATCTACAACATATCACCATTCAGCAGATTCAGAATAGTCTTCTGCTGATTGTTTTGATATATCTTTCAAAGATGATAATGTAAATCTCATAAATTACTTCCATACACTGTACACTATGTTGAAAACAGATGTGGTATTTCATGAAGAAAAGTCCATGTATAGAAGTGTCTAAAGTCAACAGAAACATATTGGAGTACCTCCAAATTATAAACACAATCTTATTGTGCCTATGTGCTGTCTGTATAATTGTGTTGAACCCTGATCCAGAAATATGATAAATATAAAGTATTTATATTTAAATGCATAAATAAAGCGTTCTCCAGTCTTGCTTTGTCTGAAATGTAAATCGCACAGTTGTTGCATGTGACTAGTGTTCTGTGTTGTATAGAAAGAGGAGTTGTAAAATTGACTGTAAAATACAACAGGATTTTTACAACAGGTGAGATTAAAAATTGATTTTGTGACCTGGAATTATAATGCCAGCAAAATGGATAAAGGACCTTGTGATATGTTCAACATACTACTACTACTACTGTAGCTGGAGCTACAGAGAAGGCACAACAACACCTTTACTTCCTCAGACAATTGAAAAAATGTGGTCTGTCTTCAGCGGTCCTGACCACGTCACTGGTGCGCTGTGGAGAGTGGCTCACATGTGGGATTACAGTGTGGTTTGGCAGCAGCGCGTTGTCTGACCAGAGGGCATTACAGGGGGGTGATCAGGTCAGCCCAGTCCATCACTGGGCTCAGCTCCCCTCTTTTCAGACATTTTACTACTTGCTGCCTCAGGAAGGCTGGAAGTATCGCTAAGGATATCCGTCATCCTGGTTCCTCACTTTTCTCCCCCCCTTCCCTCTGGTGAGCTTTCTAGGAGCATAAAGACACGAACGTCTAGACTCGGAGACTATCAGGCTGTCAGATTATTAACTCTACAACCGGCTCACACTGATGTGTTTTTTCTCTAAGATGTATGTTTTTTAACTTGTCGTTGTTGCTGCTGGTGTTCTGTGTTCTTGTTTTTGGTGTTTCCTTGATGTTTTTGTAGAGGAGCATACATGCAAATAGGTTTTTCATTGCATTTGTGCCTTTGATAATAAAGTCTACTCTACAACGTGCTTTTCTACACAAAAGCAGAAAACAACAGAGCTGAATAAATCAGAAATGATTGCGAAGAAGTGAAGGATTTGAAAGTGCTGACATACTTGAATGATCAGGAGCCATAGAACAGAAAGCAAGGTCTGTCCTGTCAGTTTTCTGAGTCTTTTGTGTGAAACTAAAACAGGGTCAGAGACAATAGACAGAGAGCTGTGTAGTGAAGAAACAATTCACTGTTGTAGTCAGGAGATGATTTAAATTAGAGAAGTTTTAGGTTGGAGAGTGACTTACATTTAAGATTTTAATTAATATTTCAATATCTAAAATACCAGTATACTTTGTTAAACTGTCAAATTGGGCTAATCAGAAACCACAAAATTATATTTTTTCTTTTTCATTGTTTTATGGTGTATTTGTGGTAAGATGAATAAATAACAGAGAATTAGACATTCAGCTCCTTGAAATATTTTGATAAACAAATAATAACATTTCCAATACTTTTTAGAAGTAAAAGACTTTCTTTCAAACAGAATGAGATTCTTGTCCTGTAGTTGATGTTTTATTAACTTAACTGTGAAAGGCATTGTAATAATTTATATGCTTGTAATGTAAAGCACATGCTTATGTGACCAAAGAGGAAATACTGTAATTGTTTCTTTTGAAAACCTGCCTCAGATGTTATGAAAACATGAAGGAAATGGAAATACATTAGTATTCTGCCTAGAGAACAGACACGACTCTTGTGTAAATTTAGAGACAAGCTTATTGATTTGACACTGGCACAATGCTCATGAGTAATTTTAAAAAAGGGGGAAAAGGGGAATCAACTGGTGAATCTCTCCCAAAAATCGAGCCCCTGAGTCAGCTGTTTGAGAAATCAATACGCAAACTCTCCGTACATCAAGGAACAACAAAGTTCATTGCACCCATGTATTGTACTATCACACATTACTTGACAAGACAGGAGCAGTTTGAATGGGTAAGGTTCCCAGAAATAAATGACATATTTAATTAAATTAAAGTTTCACAATCAATTGTAACACAATGCAGAAAGCTACAATGATCATAAATAACTCATCCCATTTATTCGTCACATGTCATATTGATTGTCACCTGACTTAATTAAAGAAAAGACGCAGGAAGAGTTACTGAAAGGGCTGTTAATAAATGACTAACACATGTCACACACTTCATTTACCTTCCTGTTATAAATGTTCAGGTTCTTCTTCCTAGAAAAAGATGCAGCAGACACCTGTTATTCAGAGTACATGGCGCAGACACTATATAGACAATACAGTTTATCTATACATTTTCAAAACTGTACATGTCTAGAAACCCTCACATTTAGAGAGTTAATCTTCATTTTGTTTTAAATAAATCCAAATAAAATGACACTTTTTTCATTAACAATAATTACCAGAGTTATGTGCTCCATCTCAACTACTAATCTTATTTTCTATATAAACAATGGGAAACGAGAGAAAGGAATCAAATGGTTCTCTTTTAGCACAGTTAAAAAAATTTAGGTTGTTTGATCTTGGGAAAAAAATCTTTGTACTTAGAATTCCTCATTCCTGCTGTTTTTCCAGCTGGAGTTTTTCTTGCCTGTAAACTGGCTGAACTACTATTCTCCGGCCCACTGTTTTGTCTGAAAGATCTCACAGCTGCTCTACGACATCACTGCTCAGTGTTGTACAATAAGAAAAGTTGAAAAGTTTACTGGACAATACCAAAATGCTATTTTTTGCATAACAATTAATAATGTGTACAGTGATTATTCTTGTAAATGCTTGTGACGGATAATTTGGGTGACAAAATGTGATTTGGTTTTCAAATGAAAACAATCTTTTTTACAGTATTTCCTGTTTTGAGCAGTGAAATATTTTTCATCGCCTGTAGCGATGGGAAAAGATTAAAAGAAATGGATGGAGCCAAATTTAAGATGATATTGGCAAAGATGTGCTTTTTAAAATGAAAAACATTAAATACTGTATGATGTTTTTATTTAAATTGCTTTTTAAAATTGTAATAATAAAATAGACAAAACCGTTACATTGGAGGGTCTAGGAAAATAATATGGTGTCAGCTCAACTTGTATACCATCACAACTTACTGCTCTGTATTCTGGAAGAATTACAGTGTTATTCACTGCAAAATGTTCAAAGCAAAATGTTTTCCCGTGGATTATAGTACAGACAACAGTGTTCCCACAGCCTTTTCTATGGTTTGTATTGCAGGAACAGTGACTTCCAATTAGTTTCCAGCATGGAGATGATACAATTTCTGTCTGCCTTCTTGTTTGCCTTTTGTCTTCCCGTAAACAATGCTCAAAAGACAGGTAGGTAATTGCGAATAAAAGAGATCTTGATGTTAATCAAGGTTATCACATTCAGGTCTAGGTTATTCAAGCCCTAACCCTTCAAGAATAATCTAATAATTAAATTGTTGAACACCCAGTGAGCCTATTTACAGGTGTTACAGGCCTTACAGTGCCCTCTAGTGTCTTTGTTGTCTTTGCTAAAGGCTGGCCTGCCAGAGCCTCCTTCTGTTCCCAAACAACCCATGAAACGTTCCTCGTAGAGGCATGTGTACTGCAGTGTGCCACAAAGTGGTTATAATATTTGTGCCTGTGAATGTGTTGTTGAGTGTTTCCCCACCCATCCATTGTATTTTGTAACTAACTCAGGCACCAGAACCAAAGGACGGAACAGAACCCTAACACAGAGGAGGCTGAATTCCATTTTGCACAGAAAGGATAGCATTCTTTTTAAGTATGGGCTTAGCCTTTCTGTACTGATCACACTCCCAGTGGGTCTCTAGAAAAACAATATTTTGTTTCATCTAACAATGTAACTTGGCTCTGTTCCACTAAATAGGGTCACAGCAGGGAGTGCTGCTATGTTGCTTTCAGTTTCTGCTTATGCCCTACGGACAGACTCCAGCAAGTTGTGACCCTCATCAGGATAGGCACAACATTTCAGAGCTTTGCTTTATTAGAACCACTGTTTCTATTTAAAGCAGTGGCTAAAACTTCTCAGGATTTATGTAAGAGATTAATCACCTATTCATTTCTAACATAACATTACATTAGATTATACAATTTCTTGCATTAGGAATTTGTCTTTTTGCATACACTGGCTTGCTCTCCATGAGACACAGACACACAGACAGGGAGAGAAACTTGGGGTCAGAGCGAAGGGTCAGCCATTGTACAGTGCCCTTGGAGCAGTTGGGATTAAGGGCCTTGCTCAGGGGCCCAACGGAGTAGGATTCCTCTGCCGGCTGCAGGATCTGAACCGGCAACCTTCTAGCCACAGGCGCAGATCCTGAGCCACAGAGCCACCACTCCGCCCCTCTAGGATTCTATTTCTATTTCTAGGAGAATCCCGATTCTGTGTCCTGGTCTACCATTTTAGTGGCTTCATAGCCACTGCCAATTCAGTTGACTTTGGCTGAGAAAAAGGCAGAAAACATTTAGTCAAACTAAAAATCAAAAATCAGATTCTGAAACTGAAGAACCAGACTGAAAGCGCAGTGCCATTCTGAGTTCTGGTCCTGTGCTTGTGCTGCTCTGTTGTGATTAATTGCCCGGCGCTGTGTCTTACCTGCAGTTTGCACAGAGGAGACTGCTGCAGACATCGTGTTCTTGGTGGATGGCTCGTGGAGTATCGGAACGGAAAACTTTCAGCAGATCCGGGACTTCCTCTATGCCCTTATAGACAGCTTTGATGTGGGAGCAGATAAAGTACAGATTGGGCTCATTCAGTACAGCAACAGTCCCCGAACAGAGTTTACCCTCAACCAGTATCAGAACAAACAGGACATTCTAACATACATACAGTCCCTTCCTTACAAGGGTGGGGGCACAAGGACAGGCCTGGGGCTCAGCTATATGCTGGACAACCACTTCACAGAAGCAGCAGGGAGCCGAGTGCGTGAAGGGGTGCCACAGGTGGCCATTGTGATCACAGACGGCCAGTCCCAGGACACCGTGAAGCAGGCCGCCGAAGAGGTGAAGAACAGCGGCATCACGCTCTACGCCATTGGGATAAAAGAGGCAGTGTTGGAAGAGCTGAACGAGATAGCCAGCGACCCGGACGACAAGTTTGTGTACAACGTGGATGACTTCGCTGCACTGCAGGGCATCTCGAAGAATTTCGTCCAGGTTCTGTGCACCACTGTGGAGGAGTCAAAGCGTCAGACTCTTCAGGTTTCAAAAGGTAAACGATACACTGGGCTCTTGCAGTCTCAGCTAAACAGTTTGATTTTTGCTTCATGTCAGATCCTACCTTTTGCCACTGAGACATGACTATTTGCATTGGTTCTTGGCTTCTAAAGAACGAGACACAGCATTTTCTTCTAAAGGACAAATGCACACAAGTCATGTATGTTCTTGTTTATAGACTCAAACAACCAGGAAAGCTGGATTTCATCGTCTATATGTCATGGTGCCGCTGTGGCAAATAAAGGAAAATTACAGGGCCCAAGTATCTGAAGTAAATAGCAAAACCAACAATGATTTCCTCCGCAGGAACAGAGACAGGTGAACCGTTGTACTGTGCGACAGTAGTTGCACCTTTCTAGCCTACAGTAACAGGCTGGTGAGCATGAGACGGATGCCACGTGACCTCACTGTACTTCACCATGTACTGGTGCTTAAAGCACAACATGCCCTGTATGAACAGACATCGCACAGCATTTTAAATCACCTGTGTAGCTTACTTCAGTATTTCAGGACAAATATCCAAGTTCACGGTTTCTGTAACAGAAACTCCACCAGACTCCACCTTTTTTAATGAGCAGACGTTCCATGACTGGATGTCCTAAATATGAATATATTAAGCCGACATTGGTTTCTGAGTTTCTTAGAACATAAAAGTTTTGTAAACGGTCACCCAGGGTAAGGGCGTCTAGTATGCCAGCTACTGTATTACTATTACTACTGCTATTAATAATGAATAAGAACAATTTTTAATTCTAGTTGAATAATCCAATAGTAGAACTGTTTTTGTCGACGTGAACTTCGGGTTATTATTCCCCCCAGATGCATTTTTTTAGTTAAACTCCTGTACTGAAATATTATTTTTCAGAATGCCGGCAAGCCACTGCTGCTGACATTGTGTTTCTGGTGGACGGTTCAACAAGCATCGGTGAGACAAACTTCAATGAAGTGAGGAACTTTCTTTATACCTTTGTGGAAGGTCTGGACGTTGGCTTGAATAAGGTTCGCGTGGGACTAGCGCAGTACAGTGACGAGGTGTACCAAGAGTTTCTACTGAACAAATACTCCGATAAACAAGACATCTTGGAACAGATGCAAAACCTGCAGTACAGAACTGGTGGCACTAATACTGGGAAAGCCCTGGAGTTCCTCAGGACACAGTATTTCACAGAAGAAGCAGGAAGCAGGGCCACACTAGGCATCCCGCAGGTTGTCATTGTCATCACTGATGGGGTATCAGCCGACGAAGTCCGGGAGCCAGCTAAAAAGCTAAGGGAGAACGTGACTGTTTTTGTGGTTGGCATTGGTGTTGCAGCTTATGATGAGCTTCAGGAAATTGCGAACAGGCCATCTGACAAGTTTCTTTTCAATATTGACAACTTCGAAGCTCTTAATCAATTAAGTTCCAGCCTTTTGCCAAATGTTTGCACCTCGATTGGAACCCAGAAAGAAGGTAAGGATATTTTTTTTTTAATTATGGAGTGCTAATAGTCGCTGCAGCAGCTAATAATGCACAGATGTCTTCAGTTCATGTTGGGACAAAATGAAAATGATACCCATGTCCGTCTGCCCTCAGATTCACTCACATTTCCAATTTAATTTGTATTAAAATCAGCATTGATATTTCATCGGAGTTTCCAGTCACAAACAACTTAAATTCACGCAGTTCTAGCAAATGTAAAATAGTACTATACTTTCTGAAAAATGGATTGTAGTTTTAACTTTTGTTTCAAAACAAAATTCTGTATGAAGAAAATCAACTAACTCCTTTTTTAGTAGTTGTTATTCAAAAACCTATGGTTTTATTTAAAGATTTGTCCTCTGTTGGACTCTTAAGAAATGTCTCCTTCCTAAAAACATATATTTTATAGAGACATGATACTTAATACTAAGCTGAGTGTAATAATTTTCCTCCTTGGTGTGTTGTTTTGAAAAAAGCAAGAGTGAAACTCTTTTTCCTTTATCCCATTCACCTTTTTTACAGCTTTAGCTCCCAGCTATGCAGATATCGTTTTTCTGGTTGGTGGTTCAACTCTTCTTGGCTCTCCAGCTTTTCAACAAATAAGGAGTTTCATCTCCAGAATAGTGAATCAGCTGGACGTTGGCATTAACCAGCATCGAGTTGGCATGGCGCAATTCAGTGGTGACACCAAGACCGAGTTCTTGCTGAATACTTATGAGAAGAGGGGAGAAGTACTTAATCATCTGAAGAACAATTTTAGATTAAAAGGTGGAGCCCAAAGATTAGGACAGGCCCTAAATTACGTACACCGCACCTTCTACAAAGAGTCAGCGGGCAGCAGGATTGCTGAGGGATTCCGTCAGTTTCTCATTGTTTTCACCTCTGCAAAATCAGAAGATGAAATCCAGAGGGCGGCGAGGATTATCAAGGCAGAGGGAGTGACTGTGATTTCAATCGGACTGCCCCGTGCACCTATCACTGAGCTGGAAGTGGTGGCCACAAAGCCTTATGTCTACCAGTTGAATTCACAAGTGTTCAGCAAAACAGTCCAGGAAGTCTCTGGGATTATTGAATCTAAAGAAGCACACCTGGGATTATTAACTGGACCAGCAGGTAAAGTGATGTTCACCTTTTCACAAATAATTAGTGGATTTGAGATATAAGATTTTACTAATCTAGTTTCAAGCATTTAACGTACTTCATTAATCAAAGAAAAAACAAAGCAAATAAAACTTGATGAAGATGAAGACGAAGAAAACGCACTGCAGTTTTTGTGATAGTTTCTTACAATAGGATGTTTAATTATTCACGTTTCATTTAATTTAGCTCAATATAATTGATCTGAATTATTAAAAATATGACCCTTGAAATCCCTATTGGAGTGATTATCATTGAACTTGAGAACTGGATTTAAGTTTTTGTATTGACTTTAGGACTTGTAAATGACTCCACGATCCCTTTAACTATTGTATAAACACCACCCAGGTAATGGTTTCCATAAGTTTCTAAGATTATAAGTTTATAATTATGCTTTAAGCAATTGAGTCATTATTCACATTTTAAAACACATCCGATTTGTACAAATGTTACGTTCTTGCAAGACCTTTCTTCTTTTTCACAGCCTGCAAGTCTGCCACCGTGGCCGACATTGTGTTTATTGTGGATGAGTCTGCCAGCATCGGGACACAAAACTTCCGGTCCGTCCGGAACTTCGTCTACAAAATCATTGATGGTTTGGATGTGGACCTTAATAAAGTGAGGACTGGTGTCATCATGTACAGCGACGCCCCAAGAGCTGAGGTGTATCTGAACAGCTTTAGAGAAAAGGCCGAGGTTTTGCGATACATCAAAACCCTGCCCTACAGAGGCGGTGGCACAAATACAGGTGCAGCCTTAGACTTTGCGAGACAGAACATGTTTGTCAAAGGTCGGGGAAGTCGCCGGTCCCAAGGCGTGCAGCAGATCGCCATCGTGATCACCGATGGCGAATCCCAAGACAACGTGAGCGGCCCGGCGGTCAGTCTCCAACGTGCTGGTGTGACCGTCTTCGCTCTGGGGATCAAGGAGGCCAACATGAAGCAGCTAAAGCAGATCGCATCCTATCCATCCAGGAAGTTTGTTTTCAACGTTGATAGCTTTGCAAAGCTGGCCTCTGTGGAAAAGTCCCTTCAGAAATTGCTTTGCAGTGAAATAATCAATATTGCCTTTGCTGCTCCAAGAGTGATCTACTCCCTTAAAGAAGGTAATAGCTGATCTATGAAATTCTGGTCAGTTAAGATTTGTGTTGCAGTGCAGAACAAAAATGTAAAATACAGAATACTCTGCACATTTCAAAGTCTTTCCCCTGCCTTTAAACAAAACATTAAAAAGAAGAAAATATTAAGTTTAAGAGGCTTCCATTTTTGACCTATAAATCCAGGCTAAATACCCTGTGAATGGCAAACTAGTTTTACAAGCAGATTTCCTAAGAAAAGTACAGTAAATATTTACTGTTACTAATGAGGACTTAGTGCAACCGTATTGATTAATGGTGACTTCTTCTGCTTTTGCTCTAAAAGCTGGTTCTTTTACTAATATCCGTTGCTCTTTGGCTGTACAGGATGCGTGGAAACAGAAGAGGCAGACATCTACTTTTTAATTGATCACTCTGGAAGCATCGATCCCCTGGGGTTTGTGGACATGAAAAAATTCATCAAGGAGATGATTCGCATGTTCAGAATTGGACCGCAGAGTGTTAGGATTGGGGTGGTGAAATATGCCAACACACCTACAGTAGAGTTCACTGTAACAGAGCACACCAACAAGAAAGATTTGGAAAGAGCTGTAGAGAGGGTCCAACAGCTGGGAGGGGGAACCCAGACAGGAGACGCACTGAGATCGATGAGCGCCCTCTTCCAAAAGGCAGCCAGCAGCCGCAACAGAAAGACTCCCCAGTTTCTCATCGTCATCACAGATGGGAAGTCCCAAGACGCAGTGGTGGATGCTGCCAAGGAGCTCAGGGCACAAAGCATCATGATCTACGCTATAGGAGTTGGGGATGCAAATGAAGATGAGCTCTTGGAGATGTCAGGATCACCAGACAAGAAGTTTTACGTCTCCAATTTTGACTCGTTGAGGCTTATTAAGAATGAAGTAGCCCAAGAACTCTGCTCTGAGGAAGGTCAGTAGAAATGAAAGGGATAATGTTACTGCTTAGAGAGCCTTGGCTTTTTTGTGTCTTTTGTGTCAAATTATGCTTGTAATAAAATTGGTCTGAGGTTGCCAGGAAACTGTTAGATGGTTTATCTCTTAGAATAGTCAGCGATCTAGACAGTGAAATAAACGCCTCCATACTGAAGCTCTGAAAATTTCTTCAGAACTATTCTTCTGTTCAGCAAATCCATAGTTGCATTAATATTTATAACTTCTGAAATGATTTTTCTCTCAAGAGCACAATCACCTAATAAAATGTATCGGGAATTGTCTGATTCTTAGAAAAAAATATTATTAATAGTTTTGGATTGTAACTTACAGTTAAATTAATATCAAGAAAACAAGAAATAAATAAGAACTGTGGAATTAATAAATATGGGAAATATTGCTTGAGGTAAAAAGTGACAGCAGATGATTAATGATGTATGTAAGATATATTTATTGTTTGATGGTTAAAAGTCAAAAACATGTATTTTTCATCCCTTGGACATCAATTTGCAAACCAATAACAACCCACAATTAATGTGTTGCAAGTCATTGGTTAGAGAAAAATGAGAAGTTAATCATTCTTTTCTTTTTTTTTACTAGTATGTAAGACAATGGAAGCAGATATAATTTTTCTGATTGACAGTTCTGGGAGCATTCACCCAGACGACTATTCCAAAATGAAAACATTCATGGAATCAATGGTTGACAGATCCGACATTGGTGCAGATAAAGTCCAAGTAGGGGTCCTACAGTTTAGCAGTGTGCAACAGGAAGAGTTTCCCCTCAACAAATACGAAGACAAGAGCGGAATAAAGCAAGCAATCTATAATATACAGCAATTAGGTGGTGGGACACTAACTGGGGAAGCTCTGAAATTTACATCCCAGTATTTTGATGCTGCAAGAGGTGGGCGGTCGACTGTTAAACAGTTCTTGATTGTTATCACGGATGGAGAGGCCCAGGATGAGGTTGCCAAGCCAGCCCAGAACTTGAGAAACAAGGGAATAATCATCCATACTATTGGGGTAATGAATGCCAACGACACTCAGCTTGTGGAAATCAGTGGTTCTCAAGACAAAGTTCACTCGGCAAAGAACTTCGATGGGCTTCAGTTCTTGGAAAAGAACATCCTATTTCAAATCTGTAACCCAGATACTGGTGAGTAGCTCTTGTCAACAAAATACCTTACTATCACCGTTACTCTGTGTCAACGTGAAGGTTTAAAGAAAATAAATGTGAAAAACTTAACAGGAATCAGGAGTGACATTGCAACAAAACATTGTTGAGAGTAATATGTTAAAATGTCACTGTAGAGTTCATCCCAAATCTGGATCCATGCGAGTTTTGCTTCTGGAGATGCCTGAACAATTCCAGACTAATCTGGACAGTATGTTCTTGGCATCTCTATAAGCAAAACTCATCAGGCATCAGATGAACAACTAGTTTATTGAATTTCTCCAGACTTCATCAGTACTTACAGAATATAGCAAAGCATATAACAGGACGAACTGAGCATCTTCTGAAATAATGTATTTTGTATTTTACCTTTAACTGTGCTCAGTCAGATACAATACCCCCTTTACTGTATTATCTTTAATGCATTACTTGTAGAATTTATGTAATGTTAGTATTTGTGCATATTTTTGTTTTACTCCAATCTATTTTGAATTTATATCCCTCACTAATAAAGTATTTAAACTTTTAACATTTCTGCTACATATAATTTCCTGCTATTATACTGTACCTATTATTATACATTTTCCATTATACCTTATAACATTTGTTTGTTCTTAAATTGTATATGGCATCTAAGATAAATACTCAGTTAAATCTGCACATTGTTTCTTATTAAACCTGATTTCTTTTCTCTTAACTTTACATAGAATGTAGGACAGAAGTTGCCGACATGATCTTTCTCGTGGATGAATCCACCACCATTGATTCCAGCGAGTTTGTGAGCATGCAGAAGTTCATGATTGCCATGGTAAATAACTCGGACGTTGGTAAGAACAGAGTCAGGTTTGGAGCAATTAAGTACTCCACCACGCCTACTGAAATGTTCAGATTGAACCAGTTCGACTCCAAACAGCAGGTGAGAGACGCCATTGCTGCTATGACAGCAGATGGTGGGGACACATACACGGCCAAGGCCCTTCAGTTCTCTCAGACGTTCTTCACTGAGGCCTACGGTGGCCGTAAATCTGCTGGAGTTCCCCAGATACTGCTGGTCATCACTGACGGTGAAGCTACAGATCGATATGAGCTTCCTAAGTCGTCAATGCGTGTCAGAGAGGATGGAATCAGCATTTATGGTATAGGGGTGGAAAACGCAACTGAAGAAGAACTGAAAATAATGACGGAAGATGAAACAAAGGTTTTCTATGTGAATAATTTTAAAGGTCTCGAAGAACTACAGAAAAATATCACCAAGAAGCTTTGTAATGACACTAAACCAGGTAGGCAGGCATGTCTTTTAGATTACACATACTGTATGTACTCAGTTAACTGTTTATGTATGCAACAGACCCTACAGTAATCCTTATCCTACATTTTTTGACAAGATGACCAAAATCTACAGTTCCATTCATTTTATGTGTGTACCACAAACTGTGGGATCTAATACTGTATAAAAGGTACAGTATTGCAATCTAGTCAATTTCAAAGCTTTCAAGTTATGGTAAATTGGTTTTCCAATTTGTCTTTGAAGATGAACTCTGTATTTGTAAATAAAAAAATGAAATTAGTAAAAAAAAATATTATATTTTGTCCTTCTAGCATGCGAAACCAAAGAGGCAGATATTGTCATGTTGATCGACGGATCAGGGAGCATCAACCCAGGACAGTTCCAGACGATGCAGAATTTCATGAAAGACATAGTTGGGAGCTTTAGAATCAGCAAGACCAGTGTTCAAGTTGGCGTGGCACAATTCAGCACAGAGCCTCAGAAGGAATTCTATCTGAGTGAATTTGACAGCGAAGACGCCATCAAGGAGAGGATATTACAGATGAAACAGATGAAGCAATCGACGTACATCGGCAAAGCGCTGAGGTTCATTCGTTCGTTCTTTGAGCCCTCCGCGGGCAGCAGGATCCGACAGTTCGTGCCTCAGAACCTCATTGTGATCACTGACGGAAAATCGATTGATCCAGTGGAGGAAGCAGCAGCAGAGCTCAGGGCCTTAAACATTCACATCTTTGTCATCAGCATCGGATATGTTGACGCGCTAAAGCTTCAGCAGATCGCGGGCTCCAATGACAGGCTTTTCACAGTGAAAAATTTCAATGAGCTTGAGACAATAAAGAAGCGAGTTGTCAAGAACATATGCGATCCAGGAGATGAGCCTAGCACCAGTAAGTGAGCTCTATGTTGTTTTTCGTCAGCCATAACTAAAAACCCCTTACTTTCATTCTGCAGCTGGTAGCTCATTTCTTTCAAAGCCCTTGTGCCAGCAGATGATGATTAATTATTGGTGATTTTCAAGGCAAAGGTTGTCTTAAACTTACAAAGTTTAGCAGTACCAGCATTAGTGTACCGGGGTAAGGATAACATAGAACGAGTAGCTGGTAACCGGGTTTCCCAAAATTAGCTGAAAATATAAGCACAGTGGTATTTTGATAAAATAAAGCAAGTTAAACACTTCTGTGCTGTATAAACTCTCTGTAATTCAGGATACAAGTGACACACTCTCCCTCCATGAACTGCAAGAGCTCAGACACAGCTCCCTGTGTAGTGACTGCTGCTCCTCCTGAAGAACATCCCAATTCAGCACAGGGTCAATCAGGTGATCCCTTTTGTGCCTGTGGACGTCCATTCCACAGGAGTCCAATCAGGTGTGTCCAATTTACTGAGGAGAAGGAAGAGGCTTCAACAAAGCCTCAGAGTGCTCCATCACAGAGATCTATCAGATCCAGGCTGAAAGCCAATGATGGACAGTATTATCTCTTTTTAACTACAGGATGTTAGAGGCACAGCTGCACTTTGTCCTGAAGTCATCAATGTCATTCAAGTTTGTCTACAGATTGCGGCTGTCTGGTGACAGTGGTCACCGTTTTATTTTAACCACAGTTTTGTTGTCAGTGTGTCGACAGGCAATAAGTCTGTAAACCTACAGTTAGTGACCTAAGCAGCAAAACTCTGTTTGAGAAGGCAAAGCACTGTACTTCAATCATGCATTACTCGATTGATCTGTCACAGAGCTGCAGCAAGCATTTGCACTCCCATGCTGCATACAGCATATAGTGTCCCTTTGGGCCGCGAGAGGTAGATCAAACATCTGTATCTCCTCCTCCGGAATGGTCAGTGGTCCGAGGGGAATGTGTTTAGTGCTGACGAAGTGAAACGTTCAGCAAGGGAGCAATTTTAAATGAAGTTATAAGGTTTGTAAAACAGGAGTCTCATGTGAGATGACAGTCTGTCAGTACGCATCACGCGATTTCAACAATTCACCTTTTAATATTCGTTTCCAATGTATTTTCACTTTTCCTTAAATTTAGTGTTTTCTTTTTAAAAGGTGGTTTTAAATCTCATTCCTTTGCAAATAACCTTTGGGCTTTTATATCAAGAAAAACGACTACTGCATTCAAGAGGAAGATGTCTGTGGTCAAGGAAATAAAATAGTTTGAAGACATGGATGTTTCATAAATTTCATTTATTTGAAATGCAAAGAATAGTTGCAGAAATTGGGTTTAGTAAAATATGTAAATAACTTGTTTTTTTTACATTCTTTAGTCCTACTTTATGTATATTTATTTTGAATAAATGGCTTTTCTATGTAAATGTAATAACCTCAATTATTAAAATGAACAGTGCACAGTACTCTTGATGCACTAAATGAAAGTGACTTTAATTGTTTTTTTTAGGCTGCACGATTGATATTGCTGTAGGATTTGACATCTCCAGAAGAGGCAGATTTCCAGGACTATTGAGTAGCCAGCGGAAGCTTGAAGCACAGCTCCTTGGCCTAATTCGCCAAATGTCTTACTTAGACAACCTCAACTGCGTGTCTGCGTCTCAAGTTATTATTCAAATAGGATTTCTTATAAGTGAAAACGGCCGGATTATTTTTGACTCCAATTTTGAAAAATACAATGAGGAAATCGTAAGAAAGGTGATGGTGACACTGCAGACCATGGAAGCAACCTACTTCACTACCAAGCTTTTGCAGTCTTTTCTGGATAAATTCAAGGGCAAATCAACTGCCAACGTTAAGGTAAAGGCAAATTTGTGGAATTTCTCACTGTCCTTCTTTAATTTTATATCTTCTACACAGCTGTCATTGACATGTTTGGAGAGTTAGTTTTGCCTATGGTAAAGATGCCCATGCACAAGTTCTGATTTAAGGCAAAGTGTGAATCCATAAACCACTTTTTCATGGGAACACCATTGACTTCCGATGTTATTCATTTTCTTACATGCTAGAGAAGCTGGCAAATTTCCCTAACAATCAGAGCTACGAGAGTGGTTCAAGTAGGGAGCTGCATCAGCATGCGTAGGCTGCAAAGTAATAGGTTTATTCCATCTGAAAAAAGAAGAAAGGAATCACAACATTTTGGCTGTGGAGACCCCAAAGCTATGGGAGTAATGAGCAACAAAGTTCAGGAGCTGGCCCCTCCGTATCAAGCATCTCTGGCTGATGAATGATGTCAGCTGTAAATTGCTCATCAATGTTGATGGATAGACTGATTTTTTTTCATCGAAATTCTAAACTAAATGAGAGATAGGCTGAGCTATAGTTGCTGCTGTTGAGAAAATGCTCACCTAACTACAGTAGTCTTGATGACTGTGTGTTGTTAACCTTCACAAAAATAAATGGTGAGTGATACAGTATGTGCGGTGAAATTGTTTCTCTCTACAAAGATGGACCACATGTGTGTGTCCTGTCTTTGACAGGGGAGATTACATCAGTCTGTTCGGTGTTTGGATGCCAGAATTTTAATGGTTTTGGCTGCATTTGTGAATGATGAATTACCATGCCTAGATAATGCATTATCTCTTTCACAGAGAAACATTCAGGTTTGTTAGAAAACAGTTAAATAACCAAGAAATAAAACAGTCATGTAGCCACCAGTCATCGAGTAAAGAAGCTCAGAAAGTAAATTCCCTTTCTTGAATAATGGTTTCTTGTTTTTCGTCACCCACGGTTGATGAGGGTTTGCCAGTGAAAGTGGTGTGGGATGAGCTTGGAACACCACTGCTGGGTTCTTCTCAATGTACTTAAGTATCAGAGGTCTCTGAAGGTCCAGCTTCTGCTCTGCCACCATTCAAGCCTCATGTGAAAAGGACAGAGGCTAAACAGTGACAGAAAAGTGCCTGTCTTGTCTCAAACACATGCTCTGTCTGGAAGTCTGGAAGCTGTAGCGTTGTGTTTATGATCATTTCCAAAGGATAAGAACTACATGATGCCATTGTTTATGCACGTACTAGTATTTCTAAAGGTCACATTTGTTTCAGTGATATGAAAAATATGGTTGAGTCAGTTGCTATTCACTCCAAACATAAACTGAAGTCAGTGCAGTTATTTTAACGTGAGAAATCCGGTGTCACTCTAAATTATATTAGATTAGATTTGAATAAGAAGGTATGAAGTACTGTATTGCACCATATCTTGTATCTTTACATTTACCTTATTGCTTGGTATTTACATTTCCTTAATTTAATGCACAGTTTCTTTTGAGCCTTCCGAGCACATGGCTTACTTTATACTTGCAAAATGTTGCTTCCTTGAAATTCCTTGAAATTGATGCACTCCATCATTCCTGCAGGTGCTGCTGGTGTTCTCTGATGGACTAGATGAGAATGTTGAACTGCTGGAGACTGAATCAGAAAATCTCCGAAGGGGAGGTATGGTTTGGGAACTGCAACTGAAATGATCAATTTATCAATTTAAAGAGCTGTACTAGAACAGCCAGAAAGCTGTTTTGAGATTTTGAGATAAAAAAGATGAATCCTTAAACAGTAATATTTGTATAAGAATACTGAACTGGTTAAACCATAGACATCACAGTGAGTCCTGCAAAACTGTACTGTATTTTTTGGGTCTGTTATTTCAATGTTATCTAAAGGTATATTTCTCAATAGAAAAACTGAGATGCAAACAGTGAATTTATCATTTTGATGTAGAAAGGGATTTAGAGGTAATAATCAACACTCTTCTGGCTGATATGAATATTTAAGTTGTGTTTGAAAAAAAAATCCTTACGGACTCATGTAGGACACATCCAGGACTCCTACAAGGAAGATCCTGAGCAACTGCTTTCAGAAGAAAAAGTGAAACTTTGAAGGTATACCGCAAGGAAATGGCAGGAATCCCTTGGGATTCTGACCCACAAATCCTGAAGAATTTAAACACATTTGGTGAATTTACCCTCTGCAGTTTTTTAACTAGAAAGTCTGGGGAAAAGTGTTTATTCTGATGAGAAGGCATTTTATACTTTTTTGGTATTTGTGGATCTGTCATGTGGTGTCTAATAAAAAAACACTTTATAGGATGCTGTGAACTGCATCTATCTTGCTTCAGACTTTTCTGATGGTAGAATTGAAATATTTAGCTTGTTTTGTGGAGTGTGCTTATTCGTATAGAATTCAGTCACTTGAAATGATTAATACCTTCGTTGTACTGGGGGAAAATCTCTTCATGTAGGCATTATAGATTATTAAATGCATTAGCCATTCAAGGAAAATTTTGACTTTTGAAATGACTTTTGTAAGATAATTAAATGAAATTAATAAAAAATTGCATTAGTTACTTTAGGATTTCTCCTTATAAACTGGTATTTTTCCTGGTTTTCTACAGGCATTAATGCATTGCTGACTGTGGCTTTAGAAGGGGTCACAAATGCAAATGATCTTCAGATGGTGGAATTTGGAAGAGGGTTTGGATATAAAGTTCCTCTGGCTATTGACATGCACAACATTAATAGTGCAATGGCTAAAGAACTTGTAAGTATGCATTTGATTTTTCAGTACTCTTATGAACTTTCTGTAACTGCCACTGCAGTTGATTATGCTTGTCTGTTTTATGAGTGACCTCTACAGCCTGACCTTGTCAGGATGATTATATTTTAAATGCAGGCTTGCTTTTTGGAAAAGGTAAAGCTTTATTCCATGTTGAAAGGTAAAGAAAAGGAGCACAGTCTTTCAGCAGTGGAGCCTTCTTCACATGTGGGGGTGAGAGAAAAGCAGTAGATAAATAAAGCATCAAGTAAAGTCTGACTTCATGAGGTGAAATAGTGATACTGTAGCTCCTTGGACCCTGAACCTATCATACCTGTATGTGTTACAGACTAAGATTGGACCATATCCATTCTGTAATTAGAGTTAATCAAGTTAGAGAGCTTCATGCTGGTACAGAAAGTCTGCAGCATTGACTTAGCTTAGCATTAGACAAACAATCTTGTAATTGCATTGACAAGATTCCAAACAATCTTGTAAAGCATTTTTATTTGAAACAAGCATGTCTTTAACTTAGATCCTGTCCTTCTTGAGGATTTTTGATGCTGTTGAGAGAGAAAGAGAAGCTCTTCACGGGTTTTCATGACAAGACATCTCATCTTTCTTTCAATGCACATGTACAGTATTTAATTTGGCAGTCAGATATAACCTCGGGTCCTCTAAATGCATTTCTTTGATTTAAGGCTACCAACCAATGTCCCTTTTTTCCCCAGTTTTAGTTTCTTGTTTTAGCTTGCGAGTTGAAGATTTAAGCTAGTGCTTAGGGAGGGGAAAAAAATCTATAGACAGCTGTCAACGACAATTAATAAATATACGGCAGCGGTTTCACCTGGTATTCTGCTTCAGAAAGCTGAAAGAATAAAGTAAATGAAGCTAGCAGATTTTGATGTCCTATAGGCATTCGTTTTTCAACAGGAAAGAGCTTAGTCCTCCCTGCAGATAGCAGTGTTGGGTGTGTGTTTTAACACTCCTGTTCTCTCACCTGTGCCAGCATGCTCCGGAATTGCCTCTGTAATAGTCTGAACATCTCACCTGCCCTGTGTTACAGGACACCATCGCAGAGAGGGTGTGCTGCAATGTCATGTGTAAATGTATGGGGCAGGAAGGCCTGCGTGGGCCAAGGGGACCCCTGGGAATCAAGGTGAGAGGTCAAGAGTGGTCAAGATACAGGAAAGTCACTGTGAATTGTATTGTAGCGATACAAAAAAGTCACTGTGAATGAAGGAATAATTAAATACAAGTTTGTCAATAGCCACGTGCATTATTCTAATCTGTGATTCGTTTTTTTCTTTTAGCAGAGGGGTCTTGAAATATGTCAGCTTGCAATATACAGTGTGTCTGCAAAATGTGCGTTATAGCTATCTGCAATTATCTACAGGTTTTGAAGAAATGTACCTTTTATGGTTTGATTTGAATTTGTGTATAGAGTATTAGACTGGTGATGTATTTAAAATTAATTAAATTAAATGTAAATTTAATGCTTTGCAGCTGCAGTTTGGCATGTTGCAGTGAGTTACTTATTTTCCACGTTTTCAGCTATCATGCTCTGCGTCTACAGAAAAAAGCAGTGTGTTGATTTTTGTTTTGTTTGAGTAGATAATTCCTAGCATAATTGAGTCATCACAATGAATCTTGGTAATCTCGCCTCTCTATAAATGTATTTTATAGGAGGACAATATTTTAACAGCATTTCTGGGTTCAGCTGTAGCAAATTATTCGTGTATAATGCTGTAACACAGCTTCATGTTCTTGTGAGGTCGCCAAAAGGCTCTATAAAAGCATTATTGAAAAGAACTAAAGCATAAAAAAGCCTTCCAGCACATTTGCATAAGATTGAATGTCACATTGTTACCATTCATTGTTTTTTACATATGATTAACTTCTCTTGCAGTCAGGTTTTTAAATTCAGTGTTTAATATTTCAGCAGTGACAGATTCCTTGTCATTGTCGAAGTGAATTTATTCCATTTTCTTCTAGCGTAATTTTAATTGTTATTACAGGGCTCACCTGGCACAAAAGGACCTCCCGGTCACCCTGGTGATGAAGGGGGATTTGTAAGTAGATTTCTGAGACATAAAATACTTGTGAATGCTGATTCATTGCTCAAGAAAGCTTTATTACTTACAGTGCTTGAGGGTGATATCAAATTAGAATGACTTACTCTATACCATGAGATTTTTAAATCAATAAAATAAAAGAGTAATGCATCCAGGAAACTTTTTTTTTCTAATTTGATTGATCAACCTTATTAAACTCTGTCGCACGTTTTGCTTTATCTGTCCTTTCCAAGATAAAAAGGTTTATAATATGTACTAGAGTATCACTTCAATAAAATTCACAAATTGGTAAAATGCGTTTTTTTAAATATGCAGCATCTGTGCAGGTTAGTTTTAGAAACTCCTTGAGATCAGCAGTTTGTACCAGAGAGTATTTACAGTGGAATATAGACTTATGATATATATTAAAAAGACTTATAAACCATAAGATATGGTTATTTATAATCCAGTAAATCACATTTTGTTCGCAGTGTGCCTCTTCTCAAGACTGGTTATGTGCATGTCAGAGAGTGCATACCTCTTATATTTACTGGAAGGGTGGAATTTATTTTATCAAAGCTTTAGATATCTACTGCCTGCAGTACAAGTTCCTTCCTGAGCTTCCAGATGTAGACACTCAAAGAGGATGAAGCAGAGCTTGTGGAGATTCACATATTTAATTTGGAATGTATTTGGTTGCTCATCTGTTGTCTATATTTTATTTAGTATCATGGTTCAATCAAAAGTGTACACAATTAAATCTAAATCCAGTCTTAACAGTGAATTGTATAATTTTAACAAAACATGCCTTGCTTTAAATTCTGTAATAATATGGGATTTTCAGATCTAGCTTTTGACGGCAGGAACGTGTTGTTTTGCAGGGAGAGAGAGGTACTCCTGGGTTAAACGGCACACAGGGTATTGAGGGATGTCCTGGGAAAAGAGGCATAAAGGTAAGATCTGCCTTTTTGACTGAAGTACGAACAGGCTGGCTAATAGAAACCTTAGTGTTTGTAGTTCTATGGAACTGGCAGACAGGAATTACTGCACTATGACTTTTTTTGCTGTTTGAACTCTAAAACCTGAATCTTATTTGTCAATCCCTCTGACCTGAACCAAACCGAACTGCGGTGTGTAAGATCTCTACACGTCAAAATAACGAGAAAACGAGAAGCCAGGTTAGGGTTCACATTAAAAAGAACAGCTACCCCGAGTAAAAGAGGGTTTACTCAAAATGGTCAGAATTCAGGAAGGCAGGACATGCAATAAGAAACAACAGGGAGTAGGTATTTGCAGTCGTAAGCTGAGTGTCATCACATTACAAGAACATACAGTACATACAGTATGTACAGCACAGTATATACAAAATATACTTTCCCTTAGGGAACATTTCTGTATCATATGCCACATATACAGTAAATCTAATATAAATTATAAATAAAAGAGATGAAGTTTTTGCATTGTTTAAATACATGAAGGCAAATAATGAATTTTTCTTGTTTTTCTAACAGGGACCAAGAGGTTACAGAGGCAACCGGGTGAGTATAAGAGGCTGAAAACCCTCATTTTAGAATTCTAGACTGTCTTGCCTGTTTGGTACTTAATTAACTCAATTATTAATTAACTTAAGAACCTTATCCAGCTGTTTCTTTAAAAGAAATCAAGGTATCGGCTTCAAGGACATGGCTGTAATACCTATTCCATACTCCCATATACTTTCATTACTAAAATAACTAAATTTAATTTAAGAATGCAAAGAAAAACCTTTCTTACCTTGCAATAAAAATAAATTTAAACAGAGCCATGTCTCTAAAACAAAGATAAAGGACGCTAGAGAAATTCAAGGGTGACGTTCCTCTTGCTTTCCCCTGTTTACATTCATTAACACTGATGGTGTCTGTTCAACTACAGTTTCACTTTTGCACCATTAGATGGGAGGACTGGACAAATAACAAATGTAGCTGAATTTTAAACCCTGATACATTCGCTTTGATATCGGCATCATCTGTACTAAAGTTACTGGAAATACAACAATACGTCTTGTAGAAAATAAATCTTGAAACGGGTAAGGCATTAACTCTTTTAATGCCAAGAGAAAATAAAGGAACATTAAATACCTCTGACCTGGAAGGAGTTAGGATAGGAAAAAAAAGGATAGAAAATGATTACAGTAGATAAATAGAGAGACCACTCTGAGAGATTTTGAAAGGTGGCTTTGGAAGAAAGGCACCTGTACATAAGAGAAAAGCAGGTGAAAACGAGACACACCTGTTCTAATTGAATAATTGGCTCTAGAGGGAGGGAGATTCCACAGGAGCGAGAGGAGCAGATAGGAGAAGCTTTGTGTGGAACTGGACGTTCCCTTGACTTAATAGAAGGCTGTATAAGAGGAGAAGGGTGATCCGTTTTGTGTCTTAGCTCCAGCATAGAAGGGAGGAGAGCGAGAGGGAGGTCTTAGTAGATCTCGGCAGCAATGGGTTGAGCTGGCTGACTGGCCTGTGGGACTCAATGTTTCACAGGGGCCCGGGAGGGGGGGGGTGCTTGAGAAAATGAAACTGTGTGGTACTGTAGGTCGATTGGCCAGACTCAATGGACCGGGACTGATGGGAGGTGTTTGTATCTGTCAGAGTATGGCAGTGCCTGGTGCTAACCAATGCCAATGCCCTGCCTGGCAAGGTAGCAGCGTATCATTTCTTGACAGATAAGAGCGAGGTGAGGAGTTTAGCATAGCTGGAGCCCGGAGTCCTCCTGGGATAGACTGCCAGCGGAGGAGTCTGAGAATTTGGGAGAAAGAACAACAGACTGTCTGATGCTGTGTCAGAGGTGCAAGCGGACAGTAATGAAGATTAGGCCATGTCTCTGGCCAAATAGGATCTGCCTGTACAGCTGGAGTAGAAAGAGAGTAAATGGTAGTTGGGGAAGAATGATTAGCTGGAAAGAGCAAGGAAATCTGAATGTAAGAGTGGCTAGTTTAGTGAAATGATGCTGAGCAATGGGGCAGAATAGTCTAGGGCCTTATTTTAGATGGGAGTACAGTGATAGCGAACACTGAGACGGAAGAAAGATGAGGGACGAAGTTTACAATGTGTGAATCCATTCATACAAACATTATCAGGCAGTCATTTAATTGTAGAAGTTGTTGCACAAATTACAAGCTAACCTGGCAGCACCAATTAACAGGGATACCAGTCTGTCGTAGGGCAAACACACATACACTGGGACAAATCAGACACTGATTATTCTAGCCTGTTTCCGGAAGGAGACCAGCGTGCCAGGTGAAATAATGAAAACATATTTGAACATATTTGAGCTCCTGGAATATGTCTTCAAACAGGGAGAAGATGGGGATCATGGAATTGATGGAGTTGATGGTGAACAGGTAATTACTTCTTTCTAAACACTCTAAGATATGTTAAATAAGCGTCCTTTGCTGTGTGTGTATTAACATACTGTATGAGTGTATTTACCTGTGCATTAAGTTGCCTGTGTAATTTTTTTTGGGTTCAGTTAGATTTGCTGTAAGCTTAACTTTGGCTTTCTTTATTCATAAATGTGATTCATCCAATGTGAATCAATTGTATATCCTAGAAACATAGCAGTGTTAAAATTATAAAGTAATGCCCAAATAGTAAAGTATGTGTGTGACTGCTTCTCTGAATCTTTAGAAGTTTTAAAGTTGTTTCCTCAGTGTCCAGGCAAAGTTTGTATTGTACACTAAGAAAAATAATTTTGTAAAGTAAGGATATTTGTATTAACAGGTGACTCAATGTTACATTTATTATTTCCCTGAGAAATTAGTGCTGATTTCCGTCTTGTTTCAACAGGGAATGGCTGGATTACCGGGAGCACTGGGAGAGAGAGGAGACCCAGGCAGCCCAGTAAAGACATGTTATTTTTATGCTTTCTGGTAAAAAGTGGGTGAACATAAGAACATGGAGAATGGTTACAAATGAAAGGAGGTCATTTGTCCTGTCTAGCTGTTTTGGTTGCTGATTATTGACCTTAGGATCTCATTTAGCCATTTCTGAGGTATCATCTTCAACATGGTTGGGTAGTTCCAGACTCAAACAACGCAGTGTTTAAAAGGGTGGCTTTCTGAATTCTCCCAGTGAGGTCCAAAGTCCTTTTCATGCATTGTAGTAAACTTTGATGCTGAAAATTATCCCAGTTTTTTGCTTGTTATAATGTTTTCCAATTCTTGTATTCTTATGGCTCATGCCAATCATGCAATCATTAATATGAGCCAAATGCAGGTACAGTACCATACATCCACCCCTCTTCATCTTTACCTCAGGGAGATATATTAGCACGTTTTTCAAAACATCAGGAACTGCACTTTGTATTTTTTCAAATTAGTAGGTGAAGCTGTAGGTCAGGTTTCTGAAGAGAACCTCAGAACAGCTTTTCAGAGACACAAACTTATAATCTATCCAAGGCAGCTAGGATGTGAAAACTGTTAATTGAACAGATTGCTTTAATGGCTGCAGACTTAAATATGTTCCAGTGGGAAACTATTAATCTTGAAACTGGATCAAAGCAATATATATACCGCAGTGTGTTTGCATAGTGACTACTGTGGTGGTCGAGCTGGAAAATCTCCCATATGTCTTCACAGTGGGCTGTCCAAAGGGAACTGAAAACTCCTACCATATTCCTGAGAAAAGAATTAGTATGTGGATTTCATGTCCAGCACAGCAAGACTTTACTGTGGAAGAGGTCTCTGTGCTCATGATTTGCATCAACAGTACCTCCCAGTTCCTGCCTGCTTCAGCTTTTAACTATTTATAATGACTTTGGTGCTCCATCATGGTATCCAATACACTTGTCCAAGTCATCCTTACTGCCCTTAAATTTTGTAATGGAAAAAATCTGGCTTTTCTTCAGTTGTGCCATCGGGTAAACACTTTCGAAATTCCAAGGCTCTTGTCTCCATAGTAAAAATGAATGCGCCTGATTTTTTTCAGTTCTGCGATTCCTGTTTCTCATCCTTTAAGGGTATTGGGACAGATTCCGTACTGGCATTTCTAAATGTATTTTGGCATCCAGTTAAACAAAACCTAATTTCTCAAATATAGATTTATACTGATGTTCTGCTTAGACACTGCATATTGCATTTCAGACCTATAATTACATCCTTAATTATGATTTGGAATTTTGTTGAAAGACTCATACTGTAAAACACGGCTTTTCCATTCTCTCATTTTCTGCAATGATCAACGCCTTACAGGTATTTCCCTTCCCTCTTCCACATTTTGGAGAGACAAAGGGATTCACATTCTAGCCAATACTATTTAGGATCTTATTTGCTCGTTCCAAGGCTTGCATCCATAAAGTACAAGGCACTCTTTTTACTTTTGTCAACGTTTTGGAATGTGTGCTCAGGGTATCCCCAGGGGCCATAGAGAGCTGCACAGCTAATGCAGAATCCGTGGGATTTCTGGGGGAAAAGAAAGGGACATGCTTCCTTTCTTAATGTTTTTTTGCTAAAGACTTACAAACTTTCAGCCAATGTCAGTATTTGGAATGGGGATCTTAATGTTACAGATGCTGAATTTCACAGTACGATACATCTATAATAAGTTTAGCTTCCAAAAATCCTAACCATCGAACGATTCAGTTGAGTTTTCTTCAAGGACCATGCTTAACTCTGACCCAGTATTCACCATCTAATGAGGCTGGCCCTGGTCCCTTCTCATCCAGGAGGCCTTGTAGGCACCTTCAAACACACGTTTTTAGAATGTCCAGCTGTGATTATGTTTCAGAAACAGCTTTCTCCTACTTCATCCACTGCTCTAAGAAAACAAAATATGCCCCCTCTCTTCCCCGAGGGCTTCTACTAAACTGACGACCTCGGCCTCTCACAGCGGCGGAAATAGATTTGGTTGGCTGTAGAAAAAAAACACCTTGGTGCTGTGCATGCACCCCCTGTCTTCCATCCCCATCGCTAGATCTTCCCACCATCAGAATAGCGTGCATATATGTCATCTGCAAGCTGTGTCACTCACTGATTAACTTCACTCACCCTGTCTATCTAAACTCCCACCCTGCAACTCCTCCTCTCTCACTGTTGAGGTTTCCTCAGCCCGAGCTACGTCTCCGGTTCCTACGTACTCCGACTCCTCGTCCGTTCTTGTGACCCCCCTGGATTTCTGACCTACCGCTTCTGATCTCCGACCTCGCTCTAGCCTCACGATTTGGATTCCGTTCGCCTTGGAATTCAGTTTTCTCTCCCAGACTCTGCACAGGGTCTTTTCCCTCCCCTTTTCCCTCGGAATACGTTACATACGGTATCTACTGTGGCGTTGATCTGCTCAGATCCGTGGGTTTGGTTGAGCGATGGAAGCTTGGAGTGCTGCTGGTTCCTGCAGCGCTGTGCCTCTGTCTGATGCAGCTGTACTGTACAGTAGGAGTCCTTTGGGTGCAAGTGTGGAGAGGAGTGGGGCATGCTGTTGGCTTGTACTGTCTAGTTCTTGTTTTATTCTGTGTGGGAGAAATATAAACTTTCCGTAAGAAAGGGTTCACAAACAAAAAAATCCCCGGTGGAGACGCAGGCTCTCCAGCCTTATCAACATGTTTATATTTGTTTGGGAGACAGTGGGAATGAATTATACTGTGACTCTTTCAGCAAATCCCCATGAAGATCAAAGTCTGCCTCTGCTGTGATTTGGCTACAACCAGCAGTGGTATGATTTCTGATTTACACAGTTTTAATAAATAAGACCAAAATATAAGAGGTATTGTGACAAACAGAGAAGCCACAGAATTTACCTTTTGTTTTTTAGGAATTAATGTTAAACTTAAATGAGCAAAACAGAGAAGAGAGTTACTTTGAAGTAAAGTGCATAACTCACTGTATGTTACAAAGAAACAAGTGAAGATTAATTTAAGTTATTAAGCTGATACAGAGGTGGTTTTGTCTTTCTATGTACACTCATCTTTCTGTGGTTCTCTACTATATTGCAGAAACAAGAAGAAGGTATATTCATATGTTAATTATGTTATCGTCATTATGTTTGTGCATTTGTGTATTTACTGTATACCCTATTTTACACCTTTCAGGGATATGTTTTGTAAAGCAAGCAGCTGCTAGAAAGTATGAGAATGGATATTGATTTGCTGGTATATTTTCACAATTGCTGGAAGCAGGACCGTTTAAACACATTTCTGATTATGGTTTTGTATACAGAAAGTCAGAGTAAGCAACCACCGACAGCTGTTTTGGCCTTACTTACAGTAGGCTCATCAGCATGACAAATAAGTTTGAAAAAATGAAAGGGGCATATACAGTTCATACAGTATGTAGTTAAAATGTGTATCTTGCAAGGAAAACCTTCAAGATTGTGCTGAATTTTAAGATTGTGCTGTCACTGAGATGTCTGTTTAGATGGTTCTGCTTTATAGCATTGTGAAATGGATAGAGTGGAATATTTTTTGTGAAGTACTGCTGTATATAATTAATTAAATAAATAGAGGGTCATAAAGTACCCTAGGTGGGACTGTATGAAGAGAGTCCATTAAGCATACGGTATGTGCTCATGTCTAGATCACATCTCTTCAGTACTCTGGGAATGGCTCAAAGCTGTGATGGTTTTATTGTCTGTTGTTTTTAGGGTAGAAGTGGAGTGAGAGGGGAACCCGGAGAGAGAGGGCAGCCTGGCCTTAGAGGAGACCCTGTAAGCGACTCAAGTCTTCCGTTGTTGAATTTTGTGAATTGTAGACACACACAGTCAAAAATACTTCGAAAAAGTAACCCACAGAAATAATGACATTTCTCAATTTTCAAGAAGTTTTTTTAAGATGCTTTTACACCCATAGATTAACCTTCCTCTAAACAAATGCCAGATGTTTGTTAGTTATGCCACAAACTTTGCTTCTGTCTTTGCCAGATACTGTACTCACAGTCCAATTGTACATTGAACTGCAGATAGAACAAAGGAGATATTAGTACTGTCTAAACCAGTGAAAATAAAATGTCTAACAAACTTTGAAAATATGTTTTAGAATAAAAAATTCTGAATATGATAACTTTTATTGCTAGCAATATTTTCATCACAGTGTTATTTTTGTGAGATAGCTCCTTCAGGCATTACTCCTCTTATTATCACAAACATGTCTGAGTAAAACTGCTTGTAAGAAGAATAACCTTTACTGTAACTCATGGACTCATACTGTAGCTATTCTGTCTGGAATGCTTTTACTGTATTAATTATTTATTGTCTGTGTAACTGTTTGTGCGTTTGTGTGCTTCCTGGCTCTTCACACCAGATTTCTGAAGTGCTTTGTCTGTGTTTCAGGGAGACTCAGGTACAGACAATAACATCCGTGGACCGAAGGGAGAGAAAGGAAACCCTGGCATACAGGTGTGTGTACAGAACTTCAGCCCATCAGATGGCTGGAGTGCGGTTTATCTGTGTTTGTTCCACAGATGAAAACAGTTTCTGGAAAAACCACAGCTTCAAAGGACATCATATTGAAAGTCTCAGTTAGTCAGTTTAAAGCAGAAACCCCACGATAATGATGGCGTGTGTAGCTAAAAAATAAGTCTAAATTAAGAAAAAGAAATGCCACCATATGTGTCGACATGTGACCGATAATTTTACAAGGCAAATGCAAAACATTGGACGAAGGAGAAGAAGTCTGAAAAGAATATTAAAGAGCAAAAGCAAGGTTTTCATTTTGTTTTACGCCTGCAACCTCCTCCCAATAAGAAGCATTCATTGTCTTTTTCTGTTTTTGTTTAGGCTGTTTTATTCTAATATGTGTACTGAGTAAGACATTTAAAAAACTCTGAAGGTTCACACTTGATGCCCAAGGGGTTCTCTTTAATTCAAGACCCTACTAGGCCTGTACAAGTTTATTAAGGGTACATCCTTTCCAGGCAGAAATTGCCCTTGGGTGACTATTGGGGTGTGTTCTAATATAAAGAGGTAGACAAACCCTATTACATATTTTCCAGGCAGAAAGAGAAACAGGAATTGTTTTCCAAGTGTACAGGTATGAAGTAAGCTCTTAAAATGTGTCACGAACCAAATTGCTTTGGAATTTAGACTCATTTTCAATGAACTCATTGACCTCCAGTACCTTGTCTGGAACAGTAAAAAAGTACACTGGGCAGGTCTGGGCTTCTTTGTTGAATTTGGATACAGATACAATTACTGATATCTACCTCACAGGAAGCTCTCAGGTTTCCTGTAATCAGCCCAGTGAACCTCAATGGCAAGTGAACACCTCTGACATGCAGTAGCTTACATGGCGAAAAAGAGGCCAGTCGGTGCTTTTTGCTCATGGGTAGAAAATTGAAATGAGGTTCCATCTGGATTTAACGTGGATTATGGCATTTAATTTGGGGAAAGAAAAATAGGTACTGTATATACTGTTATGGGTTAGAAGACATTGCATACAAGTGGTACTTCCACAAAACAGTCTATTTTATCAATTGTGGAGCCCATTGAGAACAAGACTGCAGTTCTGAGGAAACACTATCAGAGATCGTGGTTCATCAATGTTAGGTGAATATTAACGACCAGAGCTGAAGAACGCAGATCCAATTATTCAATTAAAATCAACCAATAGCTGTGTTTTTTTTTGGTGGGGGTGGTGACTTGAGTGAGAACGTTTTAACGTTTTCCCAAGTGACCTCCAGCTCCCTCAAGAGGTGCCCCTGTTCTTCTTTTCTGTGCTCCACAGGGCGATGCGGGAGAAGATGGCACACCCGGCGATGCTGGTGTGGATGGAAAAAGAGTGAGGGGTCTTGTTTGCTAATTAACTCTTCCATTGTCTTGCAATACTGACCTGGACTGTAAACCCAGCAAATGTGCATTGTTTCTGGATTGTTTAAAGGTTAATTTAATAGGGTAATAAAGTTCTTATTTATTCTAGGTTTAATGTCGTTATTGGACATTTTACTAGCATTGAAGGCAGACTTTTATATACTGTACAGCATGTGTGTTTGGGCAGCTGAGACCATTGACCTTTGACCATGATGACAAAGATGATGATGATGATGATGATGACCATGATGATTATGATAATAATACTGATGCTGCTGCTGATGATGAAGACAATGACGATGACAACAATGAGGGTGACATTGATGACAATAACAACAATGACAATGACCATAATGATGACGATGACCATGATGACGATGACAGTGACCATGATGACGATGATAATGACCATAATGAAAACGATGATGATGTCAATGACCATGATGATGACAATGACCATGATGATAATGACCGTAATGATGATGATGACCATGATGATGATGATGACAGTGACCATGATGACGATGATAATGACCATAATGATGATGATGACCATAATAATGACAGTGACCATGATGATAAGTAACTCTATTCATCATTTTTGCTGTAGGGTCCTCAAGGCCGACGGGGTGCCCCTGGGTCGAAGGTAGAGTAATTCTTTTCTTGGCCTGTTGGCAGTTCTTACAGAATGCCATATCCCTGGCAATGGATTTTTACCTGTTTTGTTTGCGATTGCTGACACGAAAATTGAAAACTCGAAAGTGTTTAGAAAGATCTGACTCAGCATTTCAATAGGTGGGCCTTGTCATGAAAAAAAAACGGTCATTTTATGACCACTCGACTGCCCTGCTGTTGGGTACTATGATTAAAGGTGGATTAGAGGCATAGCCGTGATATAAAGTCAATAGTCAAGGAGTTGAATGTGTCCTGAGGATCGAATGCAACCGTTTGTCAACATCAGCTGCAATGTTTTTCAGTGTGGCAGGGCACCATACCTAATTATTGACTTCATAACTCATAGGCAGTGTCTCTTGTTAGAAAGCAGCCCAGAAACAGTCACTATATGTCAGCTCCGGTGACGCAGTGAACAATAGTGCTTCCTTTGCACTTTGGCACTTACCCAGAGGAAGATCAAGGCTTCTCTCTGCGTCTCTTTCAGGGAGAACGAGGGGAGCCGGGCACACCGGGGCTGCGTGGAGATCCCGGAGCGAGCGGCCCTCAGGTGAGGGGTCACTCTTTGCCAGCTGTTTCATCAGTAACTATGTGGCAAGCAAAAAAAAATATCCTGAACTCCTCCTAAAGATCTGTGAAGAGTCTCCTCTGAATAAAAGGTTCCTTTGCTCTAAGTCTTCTGCAGATAAATGAGCTGAGAATGTGCTTAATTTCCAACTGAGACAACTCCAAAAAACACTTAAACCTACAAAATTACTAAACCTACATTAGTAATAAAAACTACATTTCTAAAAGCACTCCTCTGCTGTGATGTTTTGATGCTCTATAGAAAGTAAAGTGGTGAATATAACTGAATTGTTAAAACTGTATTGAATTTACAATATTATTCCTAATGCCGTTGTTCAGGCTGGCCAGGCCTGACACATGGTTATGACTTTTAATTTGCAATGAAGGAAAATAAATGTCTGTTTTCTGGTCAGAAGAAAATTAAGGCTACAGGTCAACATTAAGGATAATAAAATATTGATTTATTAGACAACAAAAATCTTCTTAATTTTATTCTTCTTGAAATGAGCACCGCACTGGGATGTCTGCTAGGAATGATGTACTAAGTTTACAGTTGTGCAGGTTTTCGTGTGACTTTATTCATGTATGTTCTTAATGTAGGGAGAGAGGGGAACACGTGGACTTCCAGGGCCTCCTGGCACTCTTGGTCTACCTGGGCGTCAGGTAACTGTCCGGACTGACACCACACCCACACCTGGTGCTCAGCTCTCACTCTTTCTTATGGGAACCGGAATCATTCGGACTCACTTAAAGCATTCAGAATTTCTACATTGCCCAGGTAATGTTTTACAACAGGCATTTCCATCTGCTGGATCTTGTAGTCATTTTCAATAACATTTTTATAACTGGGTCCGTATTAGAGGGTATTTGAATCAATCACTAATGTATCAGTCAAGACATTGACTGTACCTAAATCAGATTTAGGTTTTTGCCCATATTCATCACTTTCCTGCGCATTAGTCAGTCGATGTACAACTGTGCTTATAGTCTGACAAGAAACACCCACGAACAGGGCTCTGAAAGAGAGTGCAATGGATGAAGTAACAATCACAAATATTCTATTTCTAAAATTCTAGTTTTTTTTGTTTGATAGTTCTAGATTTTAGGATGCAATTCCCTCCATGTTTAATATGGAGATGTTAAAACCGTGGATTTAATATTAAACTCTAATTTTTTTCAGGGGGAACTGGGCCTCCAGGGTCCGAAAGGATCTGTTGGAAATGAAGGTCCAAAGGGACAGAAGGTAAGAAAATCTGAACATATTCACAAGAACATTCACTATTTATGCAGACTTAACCCACCAAACCCTAATAAAGTTTGCAGGACATGAATGTAATTTTCCTAGCTGGCCGCTGAATTAAGAGATATTTAGGAATTGGTTGTATTGAGGCAGAAGTTCCATTGAGATTAGGATCAGCTGAAAAGTTACAAAAGAAGAACTTTTAACTTTAAGAAAATAGAAATGGGTAATGATTAGAATTTTATCTGCTTTTGAACATGACCCTGGGTTGAGACCCTTACTCTGTGGGATTATAGATCTTCGATGTACATGAAAGTTCAGTCTCCTCCAAGACCTTGGTGGCCTTATCTACAACATGAAACCTTTCTGAGGAGTGCTCTGTTGATCTTCTGCTCACTTAATACTAGGGTCGAGATTTGCCTTTGAAAAGCACATCACTGGCATTTTCCTGGCAAAAAAGCATGGAAGCTCATTGATACCCAGTGGATGCGTTGATTTGCCCACTGACAATGAAGGTTGCATTTAAAAACAAACTTGGTTGGTTAACCGGATAGCAATCATGAATTATTCTTTGATGCTCCACTGGAGATGCTCCACAACAGCAACAGCATTAATCCTAGGATGTCCAGGGAGTTTTTCTGAAGTTCTAGATCTCCTCAATCACTTAAGAATCGTTCAAGAAGATATAACATTCTGGTGAAATGGTGCTGAAATAGTGTCTAATGAGATTGAAAATGGTCAATCGACCTGCACTGTTTTACAAAATCTGAAGTTGAGGAGGAACCTGTCAGCAGGTGGCAATGCGCAGTTACAACACCACAATCAAGCACTAGATTTAGACTGTTTTTTTACGAGACCAATGTATGTCCCTTCATCAAAGAGCAAAATGTAATCTCAAAGTTGAAAGAAAAGTAAGCTGCTTGAAAAAAAACACGTAATAATATCTGTAAAGTACATCATTGGACATTCTCTAGGTTGAGCTCATCGGAGTGACCTGTGCTCAACATGAGTTATTTCGAGCTCGTTTATTGACACAACACTTGCATTCCACCAGGCGTGTGATAAAATGTGTGTATACGTCTCTGATTGTTGATTCTGGAGAGTATGATGAGCAGGACACAGAATCCGACTCCTGCTCATGTTTGTCGTTGTGTTTCAGGGTCAGCCGGGAGACCCTGGAGTCAAAGGGTCAGTTGGACCAAATGGACCCAGGGGACTGCCAGTAAGATCCTTTTTGCTCCCTTGAACTTAGAAGTCTTGGTCAAAAACAAAACCCTATTTATGTGTTTCTGTTTTGCATTGGCATCTTCATTCAGCACAGGAAGATGTGGACTACTGCGAACCTAGATTTCCATATCAAGTGTGCATTTAAAAAATTTATATTTGCGTTGGAAGCATTTGCTCCAAACATAAACATCACACAGTTATCATAACCAATACAAATATCAATGCACAGTGTTGGTAACAGAGTAAATGTTTAAAATATTAAGCATGGACAATGTGCCTTAAAATTTATAAGCAAGCAATTTCTTATTTTTATCTAAATTTGTGTTTTCTCTGCTCTTTTTACCTCCATTTTGTTTACATGAAAATATTCAGTTTTTCATGAAGTATGCCATTTCTTTCATTGTTGAAAATATATGGAAATATATTTAAATTAAAAAAATATATAACATTTTTTACCCACTCATTTCTCTATATACAGTATATTAGCAATGAAAAAAAGTGCTAAAACATGATGTACTGTATCTCATATACACAGAGATAACAGAAGTCTGCTGTGATGCTGTGTTTTAATTGTGGTCCACTACAGACAATTATTATTATTATAATAAAACACAGAACGTTTTTTTAGAAGATGTAATATTTTTTGTTTGTAAAACAGGGAATCGATGGCAGAGATGGGTATGGATCACCTGGACAGAAAGGAGAAAAGGTGAAGATTTTCCTATTGATTTTGCATGAAATGCTATACACAGTATAGATGTTATGAAAAACCTACCAGACCTATAAAGGACTAAAAGCATTGACATGTATTTGTTCCATATCAAGTCATGCACTGACCACTTTTTGTTGAGAGAAGGTCTGTCCCTCTTAGCTGCTTCAGTATAGGACAGGCTATTTTTATTTCCTACCTAAATATAGTGATTTTAAAAATGTAAAACACATCTGACCAGCCTTAGCAATTTGAGACTAATATGGCAAAACTCTGAGTGATGCTCTTCCTACAGAAAATCTTGAAATGGCAATAAAATAAACTACTAATAAAAGAATCTCTAACAACACCAATAGGCCTATACAAATGTATACATGAGAATGGACAGAATCAGAGAAGACAACATCTTCACAGATCTTTGCTTACTTTTTTTTTAGGGAGAATCAGGTTTTCCAGGTTACCCTGGGCCTCAGGTAAGTAGCTTTTATACCTTGAACCACATTTTATCATCATATCCCTGGCTCATTCCTCACGAAAGTGAGGGAGGCGTCATCAGCCTCGAACTTAACGCCAGTTTGCTGTTCTGCAAAATAGCCTCTTATACTGTACATGGACCGCCTATCTCATTCATTGGATTCTAACCGCCCTACTGAAATTAAAAAACGAGTTTACGTAGGAATATATTTTTAAATGTCAAAGTACAGTAGAAGGGAGGGTAACTAATAAGTGTACATTCAGTCTGAAACAACGTGTGTTTCATAAATGTGCCCTCATTTCGATTTAAGGGAGAAGAAGGAGACCTTGGGACCCCTGGCAGTAGAGGTCCCAAAGGGAGTCGTGGAAGAAGGGTGAGGGACTTTGATGAGCATTTAACAGAATGGACCTCTACAGAGCCGCTGGTGAAGCCTGGACCCAGTAAAAGGAGAAATTTAAAGAAGTTGAGATCCTTCATGCACCAATGCCTGCGTTCTTAAGATCTACCGACTAAATTACCTGGATTGACCAAATATCCTCCTTTTGTTGTTATATTTCTTATGTTCTTAATTCATAGAATTTAAATAATTGAAATAATAAGAACTGGAATTAAATTTAAACATATTGGTATAATGCTACCTGAGAAAACAAGCAATACACAGCTTTTGAAAGTTAGGCTAAAGCTTCCAAAAATATACCACACATTTTCTAAAGGAATTACTCAGAGGAATGTCTTGCATGCATTTAATATGGAAGGTGACCCTGTTAATCATGCTGTGGGTTTATTCCAGGGTAATAGTGGCAGTTCTGGAGTTCCAGGAGATCCTGGAATCCCTGGGGCTTCTGGACATAAGGTAACTGTGGTACCACAATTCTCTCTTTTCCATTATGAAAGTGTATAATGTTGTGTACAATTTTAACAGACCTGTTCTTGCCTTTTCTGCAGCGTCCTGATTTGACTATAAATATCGGACAAACATACCATAAAACATAACCTGGAGGATCCTGCTTCTTCATATAGTATTCATTGGATGGGGTTTTTTGTTCATCATCGTTTTTGATGAAGTCTAGAACTTTTATGTGAAAGTAGATCCTGGAAGAGAGTCTCTAGAGAATTACTTGTGCATTTTTAAGTTGCAAAATCTTTTTCTTTTGCAGGGTCCAAAAGGACCAAGTGGAACCAGATCAATGACTGTAGGTGCCTGATTTTCACTTGCCAATATAAAAGATTTAACAGCCATTTTGAGTGAGACTCACTATTCATATATTTTTTTTATTTTGTCATTCCAGCCCTGTGAGCTTGTCGGCTATATCCGAAACAACTGTCGTGAGTATCTGTTTTTATGCATGTTGTTTGAGATACCAAACAGAAGCAGTGCACAGAAACAACTGGCTATGTGGGCAACTCATAGAATTGCACACAGATTTAAGAAAGAAAATAGGGACTTAATTTCCAGCAGTAACAGGAGATGCCAGGCAGACCTAGGTGCAGACTGTATCAAGACCTCAACCCACTCTACCAATCACAAATTCCAGCATCCTCACAGATAGTGAGTCTGCATTTGGCAGAACCAAGGGAGGCAGAGGCAAGAGGTGTTTGTAAAAAGAAATCTTTCAAGTGGCACCTTCGAAATGATTTATTTTTGGTTAGGAAAGTTTTCATGTAGCAGTAGACGCAATAATATACTTTAAAGTACATATATACTGTAGCTATAATGAAAATAAACATGATTATGCATACACATAAAACCAAAACAGCTAACCCTTATATTGTGGTCATGCTCTTGTTGTGAGGGAACACAATAAAAGTTATTCATCTTTCTTGATTCATTAAAACAACAGAACATACCAAGTTCGAAGTTGTATCTCTGTGCTTGACTTACATCATCTCTCTCTTCTGTCCACAGCGTGCTCCCAAGGTAACCCCTTTCTTTCATCTGCCTTTCGCCTTTCCTAGTGGTTAGTTTGTGGGTGATAAGTACTGGCATAAAAGTAATTGCTTTTATCGGATACACATTTAGGTAAACTAAGCAGACAAGCCATTTACAAGATATTGATTAAAGCACAGTTACACAGTAAAATCCCATTCATATGTTTTCCCAATATAAGGACTAAAGTCATTTGATCGTTGTATTTTATAACACAGTGCCTATGAGACATCAGTCCTGGAGGCTTTATTTTATTCCTTTTGCAGTCCATGTCCTTTAAATACCAGACATAAACTTCATTACACCCATGTGGGCATGTGTCAAAACAGCCTTCACTACTCATCTAATCAATTAAGTTATTAACACCCCGTGTGAGACTATTTACAAAGACTTGAGGCTGTGTTGCTGACTCTAGTGGCAGAACAGCTGTGAGTTTATTCTTCTCTGTATCTGATCTGCCTCAGAGATGTTTTCAAACGTGGCTCCTGCAGGAATTGATTTTTGGTTTCGATTCCCAGGCAGGACGGATTGCCCTGTGTACCCAACAGAGCTGGTCGTTGCCCTTGACATGTCCGAGGATGTTACTCCGCAGGTCTTTGAGAGAATGCGGAACATCGCCGTGAACCTCCTCCAGGATCTGACCATCTCAGAAAGCAACTGCCCCACCGGGGCCCGCGTGGCTGTTGTCTCCTACAGCTCCACCACAAAGTATCTCATTCGCTTCTCGGACTACCACAGGAAAAAACAACTGATCGAAGCTATAAAAAACATACCACCAAAGAGAACAACCAGCCGCCGCAACATCGGGGCGGCTATGAGATTCGTAGCCAGGAACGTGTTCAAGCGAGTCCGCCAGGGTGTGCTCATGAGGAAGGTGGCCATCTTCATCAGCAACGGAGCATCGCAGGAGGCCACTCCTATTGTGACAGCAGCACTGGAGTTCAAGGCTCTGGACATCACCCCCGTGGTCATCGCCTTCAGGAACGTGCCCAACGTCAGACGGGCTTTTCAGGTACACAAACATCATTCTTATTAAGCTGTTTGTCAAATGTTTTCCATTCCCGAGACGAAGACTTTCCATGTCTTACAATGAGTCATTATAACAAAACCAGTGGTAGCACTGCGGATGTTTAGGTACATTTCATTAAAGTAACAGTACCCGACATGGAGGTGTGCTTACTTGTGTGCCAGTAACTTTGATATTCTGTTTTGCACCAGAAGGCAGTGCAGGTTTTACACTTCATCAAAATGTGTGGTACAATTAAAACTTGCCTATGCATCCCACACCCTCAGTATGATAAGCTAAGTAATTTCAATTTAAGTAATCAATTTCAATTGAATATTTAATATGTAATATTTAATATTTGAAGCCTAGACCACATGTATAGACTAGCTTGACTTTTTTGTCAGGCTCAGCAAAACATCCTTTCTTTGTGGAAGCACAACTTAATTCAGATTCTTTGTCCTTTGGCAACATGTGCTGTTACACAGGTCGATGAAACGGGCAGTTTCTTAGTGTCTGTTGTGGATAGACCACAGAATCAAAGAACGGAGGTCCAGAGAATTCAGCAGTGTGCTCTGTGCTTAGGTAAGCCTATCGGAGCCAAATAACAAGTTAAATTTGGAAAGTGTTACAAGAATAAAGGAATGCATATTTACATACATATTTTTTTCTTTTTTCAGACGTATGCAATCCCTCAGAAGCATGCCGGATCAACCTCATTCCTGCTCCCCTGCAAGCTGACGTGGACCTGGCTCTGGTAGTTGACAGCTCCCGGAACGTGCCGACGGATCAGTATGATGGTGTCAAGGAGCTTCTGAGCTCCATTCTGGACCAGCTTGACGTTAGCAGCCAGCCAGGGACCTCCAACAGGGGAGCCAGGGTGGCTCTGGTGCAGCACAGCACACTGAACTACCCCCCACGGCGAGGCCAAGCTCCGGTGAGGACGGAATTCGACCTGCTGAAGTTTAAAAGCAGGAACTTGATGAAACGACACATTTCTGAGAGTATGCAGCAGCTCGGGGGCTCCTCTAGCACGGGCCATGCGGTCGAATGGGCAATCAACAACCTCTTGCTCAAAGCCGTGCGGCCGAGGAAGGCGAAGGCGGTGTTTGCGTTTGTCGGAGGCGAGACGAGCTACTGGGACCGGGCCAGACTGGGCTACGTGGCCCGGCGAGCGATGTGTCAGGGCGTTGCCGTGCTCGCGTTTTCGGTGGGCAGCGACTATAACGACACGCAGGTGGAAGACCTTGCGAGCATCCCCCTGGAGCAACACATGGTGCACCTGGGCCAGGCGAAGCTCGGCGAAATAGAATTCGCCCAGCGGTTCGCCAGAGCCTTCTTCCGCGTCCTGAGCAGTAAGTTATGTCTCCTCATACAGCACATTCTCATGTCACAACATAGGAAGGTTTTGTTCGTTTTGTTGCTGCCAATCAACCTCACTTGCATATTGGATGGCATCAAGGTTCCAAACCAGCTGAAATAATGTGTCTTGCTGTATCCCCGGGTAGTTTATTTTGTAAGCTCGCATCCCTCCTGTCAGCCCTGAACGGATTTGCACTAACAGTAGCTTCATTTTATTATTTCACCGCCTTGTTGCGCAGGACTGGTATTGGTTGACTTTGTCAGCAGATCCCAGAGTCTTAAATGTTATGGACAGTCACAAAAAAGTCACATGGACAGTATCCTCCAACATTTTAAAACATGTGTCCTCTACACTTGCTATTTATGACAAGTATATAATTATTGGGATTGCTTAAATCTCAGTCTCAGTCAGGTTTATTTGCACAGCAGTAATGGCTTTTGTGTATCGTATCAACTTATTTTAAGGTATTTAAAACTGTGTCAAACTAGGATATTATACAGTTTTAGAAAACACTCTTCATTTAAAATCAGCTTCAATTCGTAGTTTATCCAGTTTTTACTATTCTTTAATACCTTATCTATTTTGTTATTATGGATTCCCAGAGATTAAACTCTTAATGGCGCTAATGGGTATTTCTGCTGACACAAGTCTATAACCAAAGGCTCTGACAGGACTGAAGCCTTTTTCCTCACTCAATTTGTCGCCTCATTCCATCCAGAGGTCGTGCAAAACAGAAAGTTCCTATTTCGCATGCACAGGTTTTGTAAAGAAAACATAAACACTACTCCTGTTCTGATCAGAGCTCTAATATAGAGATAAATATTACATGTTATAACTTGTTATAATTTTATTCATAAAAAAATATTTTGCATTTTTTATAAAAATAGCTTACATTTGTTCTTTACCAAATACTAAAATTAATACATGCTGTGGAATTCATAGGAAGCAGCATCAGTGTGTTCTGGGTGTATGTTTAGGGGCGCAATGAAAAATGTCAGCATGTTTACCAGGTCTTTGACTGTTCTTCTATCATCTCAGCTGGAGTCAATAGCTACCCCCCACCTGCTCTTCGAAGGGAATGTGCAAATATCCAGGAGCCTGTGCAGCAGGCTGAGATCCTGGAGACACCTCCCATAGACAGGTACGTTTCTGACTTTCTCCTGACCGGCCTGCTGCTTTTCACATCACGGATGAACACAAAATCATGCCTCACGTAAAAAAAAACACAAAACAAATGTGTGGTTTGTGGTTTGAAATCAAGGAACTTTAATTAATAATTGATTTTACAGAATCAAACCAAAAACACCTCCTCCTGCGGAAGAATATTATGAATACACAGAGGAGTCTGAATCCATAGTAGAAGAAGAATCGGAGCCAGAGGAAGAGATCACAGCAGGCCCAGAGCTGTCCCAAGAGGAAACGGTGTCCCAGTATGAGGAGACAGGACGAGCTGTGGAAGAAATCCTCTTTGGAGGCGAAGAAAGTACAGGTAGGGAAGATACAGGTAAGAATACGACAGGACACAGACAATTTCTAATAATTTTCATATCCTGTAAAAGATGCCTGCATTCTTTAAAGGGTAGATACTGAATGGCTGTTTTAATTGAGAGATAGCAATGGGTATCATGCAAACATCTTATCTAAGAAGCTTCGTTCACACCATTTCGGGCTGTGTACCTACTGTAGTAAAATAAAAAAGTCCCACATAACCAAAACACAGGTAAGATTGTTGACATGACACTAGTTAAATATGATACCTTTTAAAATATAATACAGATTTGTTGTTATTTATAAGGTCTGTTAGATCTGTTTGAAGCAGAATATTTTGAATTCAATTTTATTGCTTCCTCACCTGTATGAAGCAGGAGCAGTCCGGCCCGTGGAATTGGCACAGACATGCTCATGCGATCTGTAGGCTGAGAGGGTGCATCTCACTGAGATACTGTATGATGCAATTGCAACTTCTGCTTCTGGTTAGAGCCAGAATTACCTTTGTAATACAGTGTCACAACGGCAAAATATCAGTGACTGCGTCAATGTCTTATGGAAATATGTTACTGCTATAGTTTTCCAGTGTGGTGTTACATGTTAACTCTCAAGGAAATAAATGGTGAGTTTATTTTTCAAGGCATAGTTCTCTTGTTCTACATGATCCAAAAACACGTGGGTCCCAGGTTTTTATTAAAAATAAAACACATTAGGATTGCATACTCAAATATATTGCATGTCCAAATAATCGTCCAGTGCTATTTAAAAACTCTTGCGTGAAATATTATTTGTTGTTTCTCAATAGCCTTTAAAGAATAACTTAGGGAATGACTTAGTAAATTTCACTATAAATGAGCTTGTTTTGGTTGCAGACCAATGCCTGTTGGATGTGGATCTCGGTAGCCTTTGTGGGAACTATTTGCAAAGATGGTATTATAATCGGGCAGTCGGTGCATGCTCCCCTTTCTGGTATGGCGGTTGTGGCGGTAATGAGAATCGATTTAATACGGAAAACGAGTGCCTTCAGACATGCGTCCTAAAATGTAAGTTAATAAACATGTCGGTATGAACACTTGCTTAGATATGGTTTTAAAAAATGCCTACCCTAAAGATTCACGCGGTTCCCTACTGTGGTAAATACAGTAAAACCACAAGGCACATTGTGGTCAAAATGTTGGTGTCACTATAACTACTAAAAGTTATAAAAGGCAGCACGATAATGTTTGACCTGTAAATTCATGATACTAATTAAAATATAATAGTAATATAAAAATACAATAAATACTATTGAAGCATTTATTGTTATCTTTGGAGTTTTTAGTGCTTATTATATAAAGATTTTAAATGTATTAAATCCTTTACATGAGTGTCAATCTGTGTGTCACTGTATATACAGAATATACAGTACATGAAAATATATATATGGGTAGAAAACTAAAATTGAAATTAACCTTTTAATGATCTTTTTACCACTATTATTCTTTTATAAGCAGCCTTTCATGTTGTTCATCTCAATCACTCTACAAATCGACAAAAATATAAAATGAAAATAAATCAAGGCATGATAATTCCAAAAGTTCATGTACAAGAATTTACCCAAAAAAGCATCACCTAGAAATTGTGCAGTTCTGCAATTTATCATGAAATTATTAAATTATTAGTCTGATTAAAATTTAGAATGATTATGCATTGCAAAAAATGTAATATGTCATTTTTTAAGATGTTCTAGTTGCAGATTAGACATGAATCAAATCTGTAAAGTAACCTAAATGTTCCATAAAATAAAGCTACTGTAGTTCATATGTTTAACTATACTTAATATTCTAACAGATCTCTTCTTGATTTAACTTGATCTTTTTTAAATACTGGTTTGAACATCCCATAATAGATTAGTCTACTGAAACAATCAACACTGTTAAACAAGCAATGTATTTTCAAATTAGTATTACAAACTAATTACAAACTAGTTTCTCGGTTTGCCTTTAAACAAAATCGGGCACGAATCCTGAAGTATTGATTGTTTTGTGTCAACACCAGCTTCTCGTGTAGCTTTACCTTTTCTACATCTGATGTGATTCTGATTTTTGTGCAGCTGCGGTTGAGAACACTGAAGAAGAGGACCTTCAGAACGAAGGTGCTGTTCAGGAGCTTGTTATCTCCTTTGTTCTTTTTGCCCCGGATGACTCACAGTGTCTCCTGTCTCTGTTGTAGTAGAGTGAATCTCAGTTCCTCCAAGACCACAACCTTCTGGTCTTCTTACCACCTGAATCCTAAATTCTGCACATTAGATCTAATCCTTTCATTGGACAGAAATATGTCAAAACTTCCTGGGAGTAATGTGTCATAGCAGGGATTTTAATTTTAATAGGTGGCTCCCTAGTGAAATACACACGCATATAAATGCAGATGTAAAATCCAATGTTGTTTATTTACAGTGAAACGAATCAAAATCAACAAATCGCACACAATTCAGACTCTTGCTGAGACTCTTCAGTGCAAAAACATCCGACACTTCTCTAAACCCCAAGTTCCAAGTTTAACAGTTCGAACCGTGATCCACGCTTGCTTGGTCACTCTCTTCTCCCTCTGAGGCAGGGCACTAACGGAGGCTCTGCTCTCCTCCTGACAGCAGATAATGACCAACCTACAGGTGTCAGCTTCCTTGTGTCTTAAACCGTCACTTGAACAATTGTCTTCTTCCAGTCTGTCAGGTGACCTCCCACTGTACAGACAAGATCTGCGATTGTGTTTGAAGATTTACTTCTGTCACAAAGCTACTTCTGTATTCAAAGCACAGAATTAAAAACTATTTATTGTTACAAGTGGGGGTGGCAAAAATAGACAAAATCAGAGATAGCTGAGGCGATGAATCAATAATTCAAAATAAATAATCACAAAACCTGACTTGTAAATGATTTTGCCAAGAGTGTACTCGAACGGTTGGTGTGTATAGTTAGAAACACGTGTGCTCTTTGTTTTCTGGCGCAGCGTAGGTGAAAAAAGTAATAATTCAGGCATCTTTGATTAAACAAATATTTCTTAACAAAGACATTACACACACTAAACAACACACAACATAAAGATACAACACAAAGTTACTCTATGTACTGTACAGGCTTCCTAGCAAGGCTTTTCAAGAGGTCAATGTTCTGACCACCCAGAAAAACCCCAGGCTGCTACCAAGTATTTGACTGTTACATAGTGCCTGCAAAGGCCAAAAGAAGAAAAAGCTGCATTCTAAACTAAACAGAACATGACCTTCAGTTAAATCTCTCTCACTGCAAACCCGGATGCTACAAAATGTAAGGGAGCCTATCTCCCTATCCTAAAAATGCACCCACAAACCAGGCAAGACCTATTTTAACCGAGAAATTCTTTAAACAGGAAATCAGAGTTCCGTAAAACCATAGTATGGCAAGCTCTCTTAGCAAGGTTCAAATACTGAAATCCAACCTGGTCTTTCTGGAGCATCAGAACGAGGAGTTTTTGCCTTCTGCTTTCTGTCTCTTGCCCCATCGTCCTGATCCCTCTTGTGTCCTCCCTGCCTGTTTTATCTCATGCTCCTGGACTCTCAGGTGACACTTAATCATTTACGGAAGAACTTAATTAACTAGGGTAAACTTTATGACTGCTTTGGTCACTGAATCACCCCTACATCTCAGCAAACATCTCCTTGCTTTGAAGCTCTGAGAACTGGAAATGTTGGCACAGACCAGGTGTTACCCATTGTCACGGATCACCTAGAGTAGTTCTAACATTATGCTACTATAGATTAAGCGAATGATAAGATGAGCAGATGAGATATCCATCTGGATCAAAATCAAGATGACTCTATGAGCACTGGGGTTGAGATGCCCCATTCAAATCATCTCTATACCCACAGTGTAAAGAGTTCCAGCACTTTTTAACTCAGCACAGAAACTGGTGTAGGATACAAGGAATCACTGTGCAGTCCAGATGAGTTTAATTGCAGTGAAAATGGCCACTTCCGGAGAACACTAAAGAAACACACACAGGTTGTACTCCTATAGTGCCCCACATTGCAAGAGTTTTATAGTCTGATTGAAGCCATGTTATTGCCTTGAATGGGGGTTAAAAAGTGATCATTCCCCTTATGGTCCAGTGGTTATTCCTGATTATATTAACCCACCTTTCAGCTATTTCTGAGCAGGTGTGTGTTTAGAATTCCTTCAATTCTTGCCTCAATTCTTTTCCACAGACGCTTGCACTCTTCCAAAAGATGAAGGGGACTGTCGGAACTTCACCCTTAAGTGGTTCTTTGACGGACAGCAAAACGAGTGTTCTCGCTTTTGGTACGGGGGATGTGGAGGAAACCGAAACAAATTTGAAACTCAAGAGGAATGCGAAGCCGTCTGTCTTCAGTCTCGTTAGGCTGATTACATGTGTAATAAATCAAGAATTTAGTCGCTTTTTAATACAACAAACTTATTGAGAAACAATAAATGCAAGTTGTTGCATATATCAAATATTGTATACTGTAGATATGCCTGGATTTTTTTTTATGGAAGTGCAGTAGGATATGTGTGTTACTGGGTAACACAGATTAGTTTGCTGGCTTAGCCCAGCAATCATTTTTACTTCAGCATTAGATCCATTACGTTGTAAAAGAATTATCAAAGATTTTCGTTAGTATACTGTAAATCTGAATTGCTTGTTTGGCTTTTAAAAGTTGGCAACATGCCTACCGCACTCCTAAATCCACTCTGTACAGAAAGTATCAGCAGAGAGCAATTGTGTGAAAAGAGCGTTAGAAAGGAAAAAGAAAATAAAATTGTCCAGGGCAAGTTCTGCATGAACCCAAGTTTTAAAAATGAATGGCTAAATGAGTAGGTACTAAATACTTATAATATTAATGTCATGTAATGTTGAAAGACAGTGGTGTTTCACTAAATGTTGTTTGCTGCAGAGAATCGTTATCCCTGGTGCTAGTAAATAAAATATTATCAAAACTGTGCTTTTTACTAAAAAATAAAAAATGTTTACATTGTTTCTTAGAATACTGGCAGCATCTACCGAGTACAAAACATGATTAGAAGATACAGTACATGTACAGTACTTGACCCACAGAACTGTGTTTGTATTTCTTATTAATTTCATCATTGTGGATCATCCAACGTTCCAAAGCAAAGTCGTGAAAGTATCTCTGTCAACTACAGTGTTTGTTATTTGTACATGAGGCAATGATTAAAAACGAGTGCCTGAATAAACAATATTTGTTTGCCTTCATTGGAAATGTTTTCCAGTTGTGTGAAATGGAAAGAAGCACAATTATAACCTGGAAGCTGAGATGGACCTGACATCATCAGTCGAAAGTAATCCGCTAGGGAAAGCCTTGAGAACACAATCACAAGACCCAAGGAGGGGGGAAAATCAATCTGGTTAGAAACATGTGCAGAAAGATAACAAAAACAATATGTACAGGGATTATTTCTTTGTCATATTTCGGTGAGACTGTCAAAATGGCCTTGTATTTGTGGCACAAGTGTAGACGTATATTCTATGAACCATTAGCCGCTAAACGATCACTTCATTAAAACACGGAAGGTTCCCTTAATCAGCAGCAACCTGTTGATAAGTTCCTTGCCTGTTCACTGTAGTTACGTGCCAATCCTATAAACAAACATATTTAAGGAAGTCAGCGCTGCACTTGAAACTCAAGCTGCTCTTGCCTGAGTATGGCTCTTTGTGGGCTGCCTCCCTAGGACCCTACCCTGAAAGGCTTGCAAGCAGCAAACATACATCGAATAAAAGATATGTGCCAGCCAATCATGAATGCAAACAAATGTCAGGGATGCCTGTGTCATGGCTGTTACAGGAGCGATGCCACCTCCCTCTGAAACCTGGTCAGTGCAGAGCTCCACCAGACTAGAGGACTGAATCCCAGCATCCATCACATGTGCTTAATGTTGTGCTGAGTCCAGTGCAATCCGTTTATATTGGAGATGAAAAGAACAACAAGGAAAAGCAACCTAAAAAAAATGGAACAACTTTAACAACCAAAAAATATCAATCAATAATGTAAAAACAGTAAAGTATCCTGCTTTTATCAGGACTGGTGTTCAGGATGCTGTGTATTATCCAGTACAGCTTGCAGACCAAAGGTCTTTGGTGTTGTTTTGCATAATTCACTGCAGAACCAATGTGAAGGAGCTTGAATAATTGGTCATATTTGCAATAATGTGGGCTGCATTAAACTCACTTAAGAAAAAGACACTAAAACACAGAAGATGTTTATAAGCAGCTATAGTAATCAATGACAAATAATAAAAGTAGCTCTTTGAATGCTTACCATAAAATGACAAATTGATTTAAAAGCATTTTTTGTTTCTATGGGAACAGTAAATGATGGTATGCCCTTTTCTCTGCAATCTAATCATAGAATCGACACATACAGTATGTAAGACTATCAATCACACATCTAAAATTAAAAGTATTTTTCCTGAAGGAAAAATGAAGTATTATTTCAGCCAGAGCCAGGCTGTCTTCTTTGCCATAACCACAATCATTTTCAATCAAGTTAAAAATCCCATTTTAATGATCAACTTCTGAAGTTTTTTTTCACAAAGATGTGAAGAAATGCAAAAAACATGGTAGAAATTAAAATGCGTGATCTTTTGGTTGTTCTCTGTGACGTTTTTCTGTTCGATGTCTTAACTTTTTATGAGAGCTTGTAAAATTGTGTCGTGCTTTTGAGAAATTCCTTAA